CTACATACTGTGTAATTCCAACCATATGACATTCTGGAAAAGGCAAAACTATAGAGACAATAAAAAGATCAGTGTTTGCCGGGCAGGGGAGGGGAGATGATAGGCAGAGCACAGAGACTTTTTAAGGTAGTAAAAATACTCTGTATATTAGAATAATGGATATATGTCATTATATTTTTATCCAAACCCATAGTATATACAACACTAAGAGTGAACCCTAAGGTAAACTATGGACTTTGGGTGATAATGATGTGTAGGTGCATCCTGGGACTTCCCTGGTGGTGCAGTGGTTAAGAATCTGCCTGCCAATGCAGGGGACACGGGTTTGAGCCCTGGTCCAGGAAGATCCCACATGCTGCGGAGCAACTAAGCCCGTGTGCCACACCTACTGAGCCTGCACTCTAGAGCCCACGCGCCGCAACTACTGAGCCCGTGTGCTGCAACTACTGAAGCCTGTGTGCCTAGAGCCTGTGCTCCACAACAAGAGAAGCCACCACAATAAGAAGCCTGTGCATGACAACGAAGAGTAACCCCCACTCACCACAACTAGAGAAAGCTTCCATGCAGCAACAAAGACCCAATGCAGCCAAAAATAATGAATAAATGGATTTGCCTTAAAAAAATAATAATAAATAATAAATTTTTTTTAATCTTTAAAAATAAACATCTAAAAAAAAACAAAGTAGGTGCATCCTTGCTAAAAAATACACCATTCTGGTGAGTGATCTTGATAATGGAAGAGGCTATGCATGTGTGGGAGCAGAGGGTATATGAGAAACCTCTGCACCTGCCTCTTAATTTTGTTATAAATCTAAAACTACTCTAAAAAACTCAAGTGTGGGACTTCCCTGGTGGCACAGTGGTTAAGACTCCGCACTCTCAATACAGGGGGCCCGGGTTCAATCCCTGGTCAGGGAACTAGATCCCACATGTATGCTGCAACTAAGAGTTCACATGCCACAACTAAGAAGGCTGCATGCTGCAACTAAGGAGCTGGCGAGCTGCAACTAAGCAACCCACCTGCCAAAATTAAGATCCAGCGCAACCAAATAAAAAAAAAAAAATCAAGTGTACTAAAATGTAGCAAATAATAAATGCCCAACCATAGGACTATGATTAATAAATGATACATTAAAAACTATAATGCAGCTATCAAATATAATTGTGAATGCTTTCAATTATGTGGGTAAATACTTACAAAACAATATCAATCCAGAAGAGTATAATATGAAATTGTATTTATAGTATACTCTCAATATTTAAGAATATGTGCATGGAAACAGACTGAAAGAAATATCCTACATTACTAACAGTGATTGTCTCTACACAGTCATATTATGGGCGATTATATGACTTCCTTCTTAATACTTAATTCCTGTATTCTCCAAAATTTCTACAATATTATTGTATTTGCCCCCCCCCAAAAAAATTCTTTTGGAAAAATATTCCTAAATAATAAGGGTAATTCAAGGATACATAATACACTATTTTAAAACTAATAATGAATGTGAGGGGATGGATGTGCTAACTAACCTTATTGTGGTAAACACTTTGCAATATATGTGTGTATACAGATGTATCAAATCATCACCTTGTACACCTTAAACTTACACAATGTTATATGTCAGTTACATCTCAATAAAGCTGTAAAGAAAATTTAATAGAAATTATAATACGGCTTCCCTGGTGGCGCAGTGGTTGAGAGTCCGCCTGTTGATGCTGGGGACACGGGTTCATGCCCCGGTCCGGGAAGATCCCACATGCCACGGAGCGGCTGGGCCCGTAAGCCATGGCCGCTGAGCCTGCGCGTCCGGAGCCTGTGCTCCGCAACGGGAGAGGCCACAACAGTGAGAGGCCTGCGTACCGCAAAAAAAAAAAAAAATTATAATAACATTACAAATCAATTTACAAAAATTCAAAACAGTACCTAGAATAAAATTTATATTTTGAGAATATAGCAATAAAAAGGAAATTATTACATACACATATAACATATAAATGAAATTTATTTATGAATGTTTAGATGCATACACTTGAAAGTTACCAAATAGGATAAAAAATACATTAAAAGAATACATGGCATTATCAAGTGGAGCTTACTCAAGAATTTAAGGATGTTTTAGTATCATGAAAACCATGAATATAATCATATTAGGTAACTTAAATGATTAACATTATATGATTATATCAAAAGATACCAATTCCTACCAAAAGCTTCTAATAAACAAGAATAAAGGATGTTATTTCCCTTATTATAATAGAGAATATTTGTTTAAAACCAATAATTAACTTCATATTAAATGAGGAAATATCCAAAAATATCTTATTACAGTTTTATTTAACAAAAAGATATAATAGAAATACATAAGACAAATATTTTTGCAGCTACAATTTTATATTTAAAAAAAAAAAACCAGACAAGCCATCTAATACTGTTAGAACAAAGACAACTCACCTAAAGACAAATATTTTGAAAATCAATAGCATTGTGAAGATAGAGATTCCCATACTTAGTAGCAATACAGATATATTTAGCCAAGAAAGAATTTATGCAATAAGGGATATTCATGACCTAGACAAAAACATGAACAAATTATAATGAAAGAAATCAAGAAATACGTCAATAATGAAGACTTAATTCCTTGATGGAAAGAGTTAGTATCATAAACATAAGTCATAAAGAATTAATTTTAGACCTAGACAATTCAAACCGAAGCATCAAAATGATGTTTACCTTATATAACACATTCCTCAGGGAAAAAAGATCCTTTGAATACTAAAAACATGTGAGGAGAAAGAGAATCAACGAGAGCAATATGATACTGAATCAACAGATTCAAACGCAGAGTTTAATTCATTATACGGCAAAAACTATTTAACTACCAAGTGTTATAATTACCAAAAAAGTAAATAATGTTTTTGCTCAAAGCCGGGGAATAAAAGCATTGCAATGCAATGTACGAAGTGCTAGAGCTTTGAGAACACTAGGAGAGCTGCCTGTCTTGGGGTCAGGAAAGGCTAACCTGACATTTTAAATAATCTAATTTTGCCAGGTTTTGAGGCAGGAGGAGGGAAGGAGTGGCACTTACAGGGAGCATCATTTGCAAATAGAGTCACAAGATAAAACGGCACATCCCCAAAACTGCAAGTAGGTCAATACACGCAATATTGGGCTGCATTTTAAGAACTCAATTAAAAGTCAATATTTTAAAATCAGAAAATTTATCCTAAAAATTTCTGGATTTGTGGCTGCTTTTGACAAATTGGATGATACGTCAAATTGGGCCCCGCATTCCCACGTGGAAGCAAGAGGCAGTTGTCCCTTTTAGATGGGACAGTTTGCCACGGCACTTCCTCTATTCCCCCATTCCTCTCACATCCACCTCACTTTATCCATTTATCTTAACTTTCTAGTCCCTGTAGGGATTTGAGTTTTATGACTTCTATCCTCCGTGATGGGGACCAATGAAGGTTATGGCAGAAAAAAGCAATACGATTAGGTCTGCATTTCAAAAGGTCAACCAGGCAGCAGGGGGAGAGAAGGGTGGTAAGCAGATCAATGACATCCACAAAAGCCTATTATATTAAAAATTACAATGGGGGTACCATCCTTGAAGTGGAACAGGGGTCCATCTCGCACTTCCTACAAAAAACTCTCCCAAGACAGACTTGAAAACCACTGAGTTATGAATCTGTAAATTAAATGCAAGAGGTGATGAGGGTTTAGAAAAAGGCGGTGTGTTGGGGATGGAAAGGGGTAGAGAGGATAAAAATTTGCAAGATTTTTAAAGTGGAAAATTCTGCAACACGGGGTAACCAATCTGACACAGGGAATAAGAAGAAAGGAAAAGTATAGGACAATTTGCAGGTTTTTGGCTTAAGTCATTTGGTGCTGACACTCCAAAATAAAGAACAAAAGGAGGAACAAGTCTGGAGGAAAGTCAGTTATTCAATTTAGGGTATTTGGAATCTGTGAAGCCTACAGATGTGCAGCTTCATCTCATAAGCCCTGATAAACTGCCAAAGAAATTCTAATCTGATAACTCTCTAACAGCTGAACCATCAAATTAAAATAAGAGACAGGTATGATTACATAAAATGTTTTTATAGGATGAATACCAATGGAACTAAGATTAAAATGCAATATTATAGAATTGAATAAAATATTGCAACAAAGATTACAAAGGGTCAACAACTTCATATATAAAGGCATAATTATAAGATATATAAAAAGAGGGGCTTCCCTGGTGGCACAATGGTTGAGAGTCCGCTTGCCGATGCTGGGAACACGGGTTCGTGCCCCGGTGGTCCGGGAAGATCCCACATGCCGCAGAGCGGCTGGGCCCGTGAGCCATGGCCACTGAGCCTGCGCGTCCGGAGCCTGTGCTCCGCAACAGGAGAGGCCACAGTAGTGAGAGGTCCGCGAACGGCCAAAAAAAAAAAAAAAAAAAAATATATATATATATATATATATATATATATATAAATAAAAAACACAATAATGTAAAAATCTACTAAGTCTTTTAATGTAAAGAATATGCATTTATACACTATACTGTTTCCATTAAGGATTTAACATGGCTTACAAAAGAAATATAACAGTAAAAGAATAAAACGTAAATAATAATAATAAAATATAAAGATAATTTTTTAATTAGCACCGGAGAAATTGTAACTAAGAAAAAAGAAGCAAATACGCAAAACATAAGAGCTTTCAGAAATACTGTTGTTGGCAAGCAAAATGAAGAGCTTAACATAAGTTGCGTGGCTCTTACTGTCCATTAGGAGAAAACACAGCACCTTCTCACTTTAAAAAGGACAGTTTTGCACACCTCCCCCAATGGAAAAGAAAAGTTTTCATGATTAAAAATTTTCTAGGGGCTTCCCTGGTGGCGCAGTGGTTGAGAGTCCGCCTGCCGATGCAGGGGACACGGGTTCGTGCCCCGGTCCGGGAAGATGCCACATGCAGCAGAGCGGCTGGGCCCGTGAGCCGTGGCCGCTGAGCCTGCGCGTCCGGAGCCTGTGCTCCGCCACGGGAGAGGCCACAACGGTGAGAGGCCCACGTACCGAAAAAAAAAAAAAAAAAATCTAAGTTAAATAAATTTAGCTTGATGAAAAGCTCACTATGTTGGCCCTATTTCTCAAACGTTATGTTATTGCCAGACAGTTAAATTAAAAAAAAAAAAAAAAAACTTTACACACCAACATTTGTGGCTATTAATACAACAAACACAGGAAAGAATTTCACAAAGCTGCTTCTCTGTGGTACCCCTTGATGAAAACAAGGAAATAAACACCAGGTACAACTAAAAAGAGACAGCTGGGTGGGCAGGGGCAGAGAGAAGGGGGGAAGGGAGAAGTCAGTATGGAATGGGCGAGGTATATAGATTTCTGATGGTCCATCCTGATCACAGAAAGAATGGATACAACTTAGAGGAATGTATGAGCTACGCATCCTTCATACTACAGGAATCTGAGACTTTGGTAAAAGAAATGGAGAGTACACAGAGTGAGGTAGAAGTCTCTGGTGAGCACCTGTAAGTTATATACTCTGCAGTGTCGGCCAAGGATGGATCCACGAGAGTTGGATATCATATCATATCCAGTCAACATGCTTTTACGAAAATTAAGGAGCCTATTAAAGGCCAAGTCACATCAGCACAGAGGAGGGCCCCAGCAATTAAAGGGCATGTACAAACTACACAAAATAAAGACACATGGAAAGAAGACATACGGAAGAATATTTACTTGCATATATATATATATATATATATATTTTTTTAACCCATGCCCCCTGCAATGGAAGCACAGAGTCCTAACCACTGGACCACCAGGGAATTCCCGCATGTATTTTTAAAGAAATGAAAATCAAGAGTATCATTCAGCAACTATACGTGAAGCAAAAGTAAAGAATAATGTAAAAACTTAATATTGTGTGGATTTTAAGAAAAGAGTTATATTCAAAATTTGTTAGAATCAAAATATCCCAGAATAATGGAACTAGTTAAGCAAACGATGATACATTAGTGTATCTGTGCATGAAAATGATTACACATGATAAATGTGAACAAATATGGAGAGATGCTTATGGAATATTAAGCAAAAAAAAAAAAAAAGAGCATAAAGTGTATGTAGTCCCTGAATACCACAATGTAAAAACTATGTATATGGGCGTACAGAAAAGCACTTGGCTGGGTCTCAGAACAAGTCCGCAGGAGCCTGCCCCTTTAAGAGCTCTGGCCGGCCAGCCCGGGGAAAGCTCTCAGGAACTGCAGGATTTGCCCAGGACTGACCTCATCTACTCTCAGGTTTTACTCTCCCTTTGCCTGTTCAATGTCTAACCTCATCCTCAACCACGCACCCCCAATTTTATCCTCCCAATCTGGCATTTTCTCCTTCTCCATCTTCTTTAATTCTCACCACAACCTGTGAGGTAGGTATCATTATGGCTATTATTAATAAACGATTAAATGAGTGAATGGTTACAAATTAAATCTCAACAGAAGCTTTGTTTTCAGACCTTCCAATTGGACAACGTTCTTCTTATTTCGCTGACATCCTCTAAGGTTTACCTGCACATGGCTTCTTGGCTGACGCAGCAGGGCCAGAGACCAGAGGACCAGCCTCTGCAGCCCTAGCTACGTGTACTCCTTGTTTCTCAAGGCCCTGGGAATGCTCAGCAGAAGAAGCTGAATTATCTAAAAAGAAGAAGAAAAAGATGAGGTTTCCTGACATACCCCTTTACTCTAAATTTCATTCTACGTTGGGATCATCAGCCCAGCTAATCAGATCACCGATAAAACTCCCAACACTTTGTATTTGGAGAGTTCGTGTCTTCCGGAGTAAAATATACATATATATTTATATATCTCAACAGCAAGCAGAAAGTCACATTTCATAGCTAGGAGAGACCCACTAAACAAGACCAGATCAAGAGAATAACAGGCCCTACCCACAGTACAGGGCAGAATGTCCCTGCCACCATTTAGGGACACAACTACACAGCCTCTGACACTGGTACATGCAGAACCCTCCCTACCTTCAAACCACCACTCATAGTCGGCCACTACCATCCCAACACAAGAAAATTCCATAGTAAAGCTTAGGGACTCTGACTTTGATGATCTGGTTTTCCTATCAGCAATTCTCCAAAGTCCACCACCCAATGAAACTGATTTTCAGCTATAAGCAAATCTAATGGAATAAGTACTCTTGCATTGTGATTTAAGAAAACCAAGCCACACTTTATAGACCTTAAAAAAGGACAGACTATGTGGCAATATGAGAAGATATTTATGATGTTGTAGAACGTGAAAATGAAAGATACTAAACTAATGCAGACTTTGACCACCACTGGACTAGTATTTTCTAGTAACAGGACTGAAGGGCCTGTAATTAAATAGTACCAATTATTATGGATTAGAGTGAGTGGAGTCATATGTGATTTTTATTTTTACTCTCTATTTTCCAAATTCTTCTGTAATGTGGTTAAAATTTCCTAAAAATTTAAGAAAAAACTTTAACTCAATTTAATAAAAGAAAGCCGTCCCTACATTATCCTTACCTAGATTCTAGTCACTAGCCCACCTCCCTCCTCTTTTCACCTACCAAAGCGGTTAAGACTGTTCTTCCTACTTCCTGACCCCCAACTTACCGAGGAGCTACACTGTTCAAACACTTGGGCAGAGGCTATTAGCTGGCAGCGCTGAAAATAAACTCCATCCCTTCCCTCCTTTGGTTAGAACCACAGCTCCGTATCATAGAATGTTGACTGATGAAGCTTCCCCAAGGACAGAGCAGCAATTAACCTAGGAAGTGCTTTTTCCCCAGACTCACTCTCAGCTCAGCACTACACTGTTGACAGTGTTTTGTCTACCTCTGAGAGTCTCACCTTTATTTTCAAGCATCTTGTGCAGCTTCATGTGCTTGTAGGTAGCAATTATCTGAAAATTAACGACACTTGGAATATTCAATCCTTGGTCCTGCAGCAGCTGTAGGGATGTAGCGTGAATTAGCTGATGAGACCGCTTGCACTTCGGCAGCCTGCACTCTCCCCTGACAAAGGACTTGCACACGTGAAACTTGTTGCATTTATCCTTGAGGTTGCAGTAACCATACAGGGCTTCACCTTTGTTGTAGAGCAAACAGACCTGGTACAGAAGTGAAGCAACACTTAGGACATTCATTTTCACTGTATCTCTTAAACCAATAAAGGACAGCTTCTCTAAATGGCACCTTCTGATCATCAGTGGCTATTAAAATCATTATGGGGGCTTCCCTGGTGGCGCAGTGGTTGAGAGTCCGCCTGCCAATGCAGGGGACGCAGGTTCATGCCCCAGTCCGGGAGGATCCCACATGCCGCGGAGCGGCTAGGTCTGTGAGCCATGGCCACTGAGCCTGCGCGTCCGGAGCCTGTGCTCCGCAACGGGAGAGGCCACAACAGTGAGAGGCCCGCGTACCGCAAAAAAAAAAAAAAAAGTGGGCAGAAGATCTAAATAGACACTTCTCCAAAGAAGACATACAGATGGCCAAGAGACACATGAAAAGATGCTCAACATCACGAATTATTAGAGAAATGCAAATGAAAACTACAATGAAGTATCACCTCATACCTGTCAGAATGGCCATCATCAAAAAATCTACAAATAAATGCTGGAAAGGGTGTGGAGAAAAGGGAACCCTCCTACACTGTTGGTGGGAATGTAAATTGGTACAATCATTATGGAGAACAGTATGGACACTAAAACTAGAGCTACCATATGATCCAGCAATCCCACTCCTAGGCATATATCCAGAGAAAACCGTAATTCGAAAAGATACATGCACCCCAGTGTTCATTGCAGCACTATTTACAATAGCCAGGACATGGAAGCAACCTAAATGTCCATCAACAGAGGAATGGGTAAAGAAGATGTGGTACATACATGCAATGCAGTATTACTCAGCCATAAAAAAAAAAGAATGAAATAATGCCATCTGCAGCAACACGTATGGATCCAGAGATTGTCATACTGAGTGAAGTAAGTAAGACAAAGATATCATATGATACTGCTTATATGTGGAATCTAAAAACATGATACAAATGAACTTATTTACAAAACAGAAATAGAGTCACAGATGTAAAAAAAAAAAAACAACTTATGGTTACCAGAGGGGAAAGGAGGAGGGATAAATTGGGAGATTGGGATTGACATATACAGACTACTATATATAAAACATAACTAATAAGGACCTACTGCATAGCACAGGGAACTCTACTCAATACTCCGTAATGACCTACATGGGAAAAGAATCTAAAGAAGAGTGGATATATGTGTCTGTAAAACTGATTCACTTTGCTGTACAGCAGAATCTAACACAACATTGTAAATCAACTATACTCCAATAAAAAATTTTTTTAAAGTCATGGTGATATAATATACAGCATAAAGAATATGGTCAATAATACTGTAATAACTTTGTATGCAGACAGATGATTATTAGACTTACCATGGTGATCATTCCGTATGTATTTAAACGTCACACATATGAAACCAACATAATACTGCACATTGATTATACTTCAATCAGTAAGCCAAAACACGGTATGCTGCCTGTGATTTTGATGCCAATTTTCTAAAATGAACCCATAATTTTAGTGCAATTCCTACCTCCCCCAAAGAATTCCTATAAAATAGTTTTAGGAATTTGAATGATTCCAAAGCTCATCTGAAAAAGGAAAGAAGTGAGAATCAATTAATGAAAAAAAGAAACAGGAAGCCAGAACAGTTTTTTGAAAAATATAAGCATTAAAATAAAAATGTAAAAAAACTCACAAAATGAGTGTAAGTTAAGGCTTCTACAAGACAGTATTAAGCACATATGGTCTTAATTGCTCAGCTCTAGTAAATCTTGAAGCAATAGATTATTCTGACTTGGGGGCTAGGTCTAGGATCTGTTTTCTTTGATCTCCTGTACATTCTGGAACCAGTATCACACAGTTTAATGAAAGTAGTTTATATTTTAAGATATGATGGTTTGAGTCTCTATGCCCAGTTTATTACAAAAGGATATATAACTCAGGAATAGTTGGATGGAAGAGATGCATAGGGCAAGGTATGTGGGAAAGGGTGTGGAGCTTCCATGCTTTATCTGGGCGCCACTCTCCCGGCACCTCCACATGTTCACCAACCTGGAAGCTCTCCTAAAGCCATCCTTTTGGGTTTTTTATGGAGGCTTCATTACATAGGCATGATTGTTTAAATCACGGGCCATTGGTAATTGAACTCAATCTCTAGGCCCTTTTCCCTCCCAGGAGGTGGGAGTGGGACTGAAAGTTCCAACCTTCTAATCACATGACTGGTTATTAGGGAAACCAGCTCCCATCCCTAGGTTACCTAGAGGCTTTCCAAAAGTCACCACATGAACATAACAAAAGTCACTTTTTATCGCTCTCACGTTTGAAATGTACACACTGTTATATTTAAAATGGATAACCAGGGACTTCCCTGGTAATGCAGAGGTTAAGAATCCGCCTGCCAACGGGACATGGGTTCGAGCCCTGGTGCAGGCAGATCCCACATGCCACGGAGCAACTAAGCCTGTGTACCACAACTACTGAAGCCCGCACACCACAAATACTGAGCCCAGGTGCTGCAACTACTGAAGCCCGCGCACCTAGAGCCTGTGCTCTGCAACAGGAGAAGCCATTGCAGTGAGAAGCCCGCTCACCGCAACGAAGAGCAGCCCCTGCTCACCACAACTAGAGAAAGCCCACGCGCAGCAACGAAGACCCAACACAGCCAGAAATTAATAAGTAAATAAATTAATTAATTTTTAAAAAAAGTAAAATGGATAACCAACAAGGACCTACTGTATAGCACAGGAAACTCTGCTCAATATTATGTAACAACCTAAATGGGAAAACAATATGAAAAAAATAGATACATGTATATGTATAATTGAATCACTCTGCTGTACACCTGAAACTATCACTACAGTGTTAATCAACTATAATCCAATATAAAATAAAAAGTTAAAAAAAAAATTTAGGAAATTCCAAGGGTCTTAGGAACTCTGTGCCAGGGGCAGAGACAAAGACCAAATATATATTTCTTATTATAAATCACAATATCACAATACTTGCCCCTTATTGATTTTTTATGTGTACTGTACCTATATTACATACTGAATCTTTAGGAGTGTGGCAGAAAGGAATCACCAGGCATTTTCACACACGAGACGTGAGGTACCACTCCTGCCTCATCCACTGTGCTTGTCCAAGGTCCCTGCTGCCTAAGTGGCCGTGTTTTGTGCCACATGCCAGACACCTCCAGTTCCAGATGATTAGACCGAAGGCAGGCAGGCTCCTATCTTAAATGCAGCTAACCCATCAACTGCTCACAGAACACTGACATAGTCTAGTATGACAAGATGAGGCTGGACCCAGGGTACTCGGGTAGAAGCCATAAAGAAAAAAATGCATTAAGTTTAACAACCGAAAAATGTTAAGCTTCTATAAGTCAAAAAAACTCATCAACACTAAAGGTAAACAGAAGTTGCACTGCCCCTTCTCTCTGAGACAAAACAGACCGCCCCCCCCCCCCGCCCCCCTATAGCTGCCGCATCCTCCTCTCCCTTCCTGCCAAGATCTCTCTCGTAATACTTTCTTTGGGGATTCCAACCCTTCCGTTTAAAAAATTCTTTGTGTATAGCTAAACAGATACAAATGTGCTAATTCTGCCATTATAGCAGTTATAATGGGTACCTTTGGAACAACATAATGTAGTTCCAAAACAATTCAAATTAATATCTAAAGCCCCCAAAAAGTAAATGGGGGGGATATTTGTAACAAATGTGACCAAAAAAGGGATCTGTATCGTTAAAGACATCTTATGAATTAACAGGAAAAGACAAACGCCTGGATAGAAAAGTCAACAAAAGTATAAACAGGTAATTCACAGAACACAGGCTTCGTAATCAGACAAAACTAAATTCAAATCTGCCATTTTCTATGTGACCCTGGGCAAGTTATTTAATCGAGCCTCAGTTGCCTCCCCTGTAAAATGGGGACAGGCATACCTCACTCATAGGCTATTATTAATCAGCTAAGGTATACGAATTACTCAGCATTCAGTAAGAACTCAAAAAAAAACAGTAGCCATTATTATTATTTCTATACCACACTTCTTGTGTATAAAAGCCCAATAAAATCATAGACTGCAGAAAGGCCAGCACTGTATCATACCCACCCCCCCTTCCCCTCAGGCTGTCCTCTGTAAGCAGATTGTTGATGTTCTCCCCTGACTTTTTTCAAGGTGCAGACAATATGAGGGTGACTCCTTAGTGACTCACCTCTGGTAAAAGGCAGGGGTCATTCTGCAAAAGAAGGATCCGAAGCTGGGCCTCATTGAGACCAAACAGTCCCTGGTTTTTCAGGACTTGGATGTTGACAGGTATGTGGATATCATGAGAAAGGGTGCAGGTAGACCTAGAACACAAAGGTCTAGATCAGAGGCCCAGATGAAGGAGGGGCCAGACTGTCAAATCCCTTCCCTAGGGTCACTTTCAACTTGCTGGTGAAGTTACGCAATTTTCCATGAAACCATGGATACTACAGTCTAATAAGCTCTGATAATAAGAAAGCTGGGATGAAGCAACTCCCCTCCCAGAGCCATTTAATTCTGAATGAGGATGCTTTAAGGCCAAAGGGACCTCTCCCCCAGTCATCTGCCTTGACAGAGGGTGCCCGTGGGTGGGTTCTGCAGAGGACCGCACTGGGCCTTCTCCACCCCAAGCGGCTGCGCACCCCACCAACCACCAACCTTAAACAGAAAGCATGCCTCCTCCCCCCACTCCGCTTTGGGGGGCTAGAGGAAACCGAGGAAGACTGGAGTTAGGAGGCCGCCTCTAACGACCTCTTCCAAATCATCCAGCCCTCAGTTTCCTGGAGCGGGGGAGGCAAACTAAACCGCTCTTTCTAAACCTAGAGAGCAGACTCGCGTCTGTAAAACTGTGCTCAAGTGGGAAGGGCCGATCTCTGGATAAAGGATCCATGAATCTCATGGGGTCCTCAAATGGCCCCCAAAGGGCCACTGGTGGAAATGAACGCAAAAGTCCCAACCTGTTTATTCCGGCCGTGCTGTGGAAGATCTCGGGGGGGGGGGGGGGGGGGAGAAGCTGCAATGTGGGGCGGGGGAAGCTGTTGAGAAGTCCAAGTCCCGACGATCTTCCGCCTCATTCCGCAGCTGGGAGCGCGGGGAGGCCTCCCAGCGAAGGACCCTGAGAGGCCCCTTCCCGGGGCTTTCCTTCCGCCCTTCCGGAGGGGGGCGTCAGGCCCGGACCAACGACCCCTTTTCTTACTGCTTAGCTGGGTCCCGCTTCCGGCTGGCCAGGCCAGGCCCGCGGCCCGTGCGCCCTGACCGCCGCGTCCCGCCCGCCGCCCCGACCCGTCCGCAGCCTCACCAGCAGTCGCGGTTCGGGCACTTGCCCATCATGTGGCGGCGGCAGAGGTGCAGCTGGTCGCAGGCCTGGCACTCGCCGCGCTGGTAGCGAGCGCAGAGGCGCGCGGAGGACACAGCCACAACCCGCCAGGCCGAGGGGCCGCCGCCGCCGCCGCCGCCGCCCGCGCAGCCCTCGCCGGCCGCCACCTCGGCCTCGGCGTCCCACGGGTCCTCCCGCACCTCCACCTCCTGCAGCAGGAAGCGGTCGGGCCCGGCCTGGCGCAGCACGTCCCGCAGCCGGGCCTCCGAGAGCTCCACGTGGCCGCGCAGATCCTGCAGGAACATGCGGCCGCCGTGGGCGCACAGCACCTTGGTGAGGAACGAGCATACCGTGGGCTCCGCCATGGTCGCGGCCCGGCTCCTTGTGCGGAAATCCGAGGCGGGCAGACTCCTCCCAGTCACGTCCACGACTACAAACCCCGTTCCCGGGGCGGGCCGGGGGGAGGGTGGGCGAGGGGCGGCCGCCCGCGGGCCGCGGCGCAGAGAGGCGGGACCCGGGGCCTGGGTCCACCCTGGGCGCGGATCGGGCGGGGACAGACTTGATTGAGCGCCTGCTCTGCGCCAGGCACCCTTCAAGGTTAAGTCCTCGTCTGGAGGGGCTCGTAGAGTCGGGGGGAATCTGAGATACTGGTAAGGGCTACAAAGAAGATGAAACAGGGAATGTGGTAGAAGTTGCCTAGCTGGACGGCGTTAGGTAGCTGGGAGAGGAAGACCTCAGGACCTAGCCACCAGCCACACTTGAGCATTTGAAATGTGACCAGTGCGAGTTGGAACGTGCTTCAAGTGTGAAATACACATACACCGGATTTGGAAACTTTAGAATGCAGAGTGTAAACTTCATATTCATGATGTTAAACTGATAATATTTAAATAAAACATTATTATAATTTCATCTGTTTCTTTTACTTCTAATGTAGCTATGAGAAAATGTAAAATGGCTCACTTTATATTTCTGTTGGACAGCACCTGTTTAGACCTGTACATTTACTAAGGAACTATCTTTTTGCCCAACACCACGCTGATTTAATGACTATTTTTTGAGCCAACCGCTAATGCAGCAACAGAGTATAAAGATGAATAAAACATAATTGAGGAACTCAACTAGCCGAGTTGCTGTCTTAACAGGGCGGTTGTGAGGATTAAACGAGTTAATGTCACATAAAGAAGCCAAAGAGGAAGGCCACTTTAGCTTCCAGATGCCAGAAGACCTTCTCTGCCGTGTTAAGAAATTTGGATTTACGGAAGACTTTGGGAAGCTACTGAAGGAATTTCCGCTGGCAAGTGACAGTGATCCCTCTGCCTAGAATGCTCTCCCGCACCCCTTTCTAGATGTCTCCTTTCTGTCATTCATCTCTGAGCTTAAATGTCTTCTCTTTAGCAAGGCCCTTCCTAAAGTAGCACCCAGGTCTCTGCATGGAACTTATCACTCATGTCTTTCTTCTTACTTATTTATATATTTGTAGGATTCAAACGTGTGAAAGCAGGAATTTTGTGTGTCTTATTCCTTGCTGTATCCCCAACACTTAAAAACAGTGCCTGGCTATATTGTAGGATAGGTGTTTTTTATTTTGTTTTTGTTTTTCAAAAAAATTTGTAGTAGACAATTTTTCAAGCAGGAAATTAGAGGACAGTGAAATAAGCACCCATATATATCTATTTCCTCGTGTTATAAAATCTTAACACTTCGTCTTATTTTATTTGCCTGATTGTTTTGGCTGAGAACTTGTAAGTTTCAATTTCAATTTCTAGATAATTCAATCCTAAATACTTCAGTAGGCATGACTTTTAAAAATGGTAAATTTTCCTACATAATCCTAACATCATTTTCATAATTAACAAAAGTAACTGTAACTTTCCTTAACACTTCTAATGTAGGATAGGTGTTTTAGAAAGATCCCTGGCAGTAATGAGAATGGATTTCTAGAAAAGCAGGACAGGATAAGGAATAACAGAAGAGAAACAGGAGTTGAGGGATTATCATCTCAATTTTTATGGTGTTGTTTGCAGTGGGCAATCCAAGAGAAGATGCTCAGTGGGCAGGTGTATTTACAAGTCAAGAGCTTAAGAAAGATTGAAGAGACTATCTATTTGAGTGACATCAGAGTACTAGTAATTGGAGCTGTGAGAGTTGATAAGGTCACTCAGCACAAATAAAGTGAGGAACAGAGATGGGAGGATAGAACCTTGGGGAGTAGCAACATCAAACATTTCTGAAAAATTGAGAGCCTGCTACGGCAAAGTAAATAAACAAATGGAACAAATAACTAAGTGGAAAAACTCAAACATCTGCTCATGCTTGGTTTGATGCCACTTTGTATATTTGAACGTATGTATTTTTGACAGCAATGGGTTGGCTATACATTGTTTTATTTACATTGAAGTCCATATCAAATGGCAAATTTTACCTTCACTTTAATCATATCTATGTTGCCATACAAAGGTTTTCTCTCTCCATCTAAAGCTTTATGATTAAAAACGAATGAGGGGCTTCCCTGGTGGCGCAGTGGCTGGGAGTCCGCCTGCCGATGCAGGGAACACGGGTTTGTGCCCCAGTCCGGGAAGATCCCACATGCCGCGGAGCGGCTGGGCCCGTGAGCCATGACTGCTGGGCCTGCACGTCCGGAGCCTGTGCTCCGCAACGGGAGAGGCCACAACAGTGAGAGGCCCACGTACCGGGAAAAAAAAAAAAAAATAAATAATAATAATAATAATAATAAATAAAAACGAATGAGTGGGGACTTCCCTGGTGGCACAGTGGTTAAGAATCCGCCTGCCAATGCAGGGGACACGGGTTTGAGCCCTGGTCTGGGAGGATCCCACATGCCGCGGAGCTACTAAGCCCGTGCGCCACAACTACTGAGCCTGCACTCCAGAGCCCGCGAGCCACAACTACTGAAGCCCGCGTGACACAACTACTGAAGCCCATGCGCCTAGAGCCCGTGCTCCGCAACAAGAGAAGCCACCGCAATGAGAAGCCCGCGCACCGCAATGAAGAGTAGCCCCCACTTGCCGCAACTAGAGAAAGCCCACGCGCAGCAACACAGCCAAAATAAATATAAATAAATAAATAAATTTATTTTTTAAAAAAAGAGTGGAGAAGGGCTTTTGAAGGAGTGACTGGTAAGACAATTCTGCTGAAGATCATTTACTTTTTTTTAACTTTTGTGCCTCAGCCTGGCCCTGGTCCCACCCCTGAGGTGCGTCAGCAGTTTCCAGCGTCTCCCTGTCTCAGCCCTTGGACAAAAGATGTGCCAACCAACTGCAGGCTTCTGCATCACAGCCACCCCACCGTCCCCTGGCAGTGTCCTAAAGGCTCCTTGGTCATTGAGTCCTGGAATGATGAAGCTGGAAGGGGCAACACACATCCTCTATCCCCCATTGAATAAACTGGTGTCTGCAATTGATTATCTTTTTGGAGATACCTGGAAATAGAGCAAATAAAAGCAGCAGAGCCAAAATTAATATTTATTTCCTTTTATTAGATAATCTCAAATGGAGCTTGGAGAAGAACAGGAAGGAATACAACTACTGAATTATAAGAAGTTGAGCTTACGTTATTCAACAAAATTTATCCAATGTATCAGCATATCAAGCAGTCAGCTAGGTATCTGGGGTGGCACAGTGAACAAGACAGGGTGACTCAGCTCTCATGGAGCTCACATTCTAATGCGGAAAGCAGAGAACACCAGGTTGGACAGATGCTTAAAATGAACAAAGCAAGGCGCAAAGTGTTTTAAAAACCAGAGATCCGGGAGGCAAGCATCCCATTTAATCTATAGAAGGACTCCTTATGGAGGTTAGTAAGCTAATCTAAAGATGCTAGGTGTTAACTGAGTGGTTCTCACTGTGGTATTTTAGAGATTGACGGATTGTTGGCTTCACAATAATTGCGGACTTTTACTGGCATTGAGTGGATGAAGCTAGGGAAAACAGATGCCCTGCAGTGTATGGGTTAGTCCCACACAAAGAATTATTCGGTACCCTATACGACTTTCTAATGTCCTGTTGGACATTTATGTAGGACTTACAGCTCGCCTGAGAAAATATAATTCCTTTTTTCCTCTTAGACAATCTGTAATTTGTCTTGTCCTATTATCCTTATTTCAATTAACGTAACTACGCTCTTTCCCTTACCACGTACAGAGAAGGTATATGGTCTGTTATGACTTACCCTAATACTGGTTTTCATTCTGGTGTCACCCATACTAATAATCTTTCCTTCTCCTGTACTTCTTTACAGGAAATAGCCTCTGATCGACTCTTAAATCCAGACCTATTCACTATAAGTAGAAGTAGGTATCTATCTCATGATGTCGTATAGCGTGGTCATGCTGAGCATTTACACATCGATATTCATTTTATCTTTATTACAAACTTCTTTCCTTCTGTTTCTCCATTATAATAGATAGGGCAGTAAATTCATTTCTTAAGAAATTCATGTAGATTATAGTATCTGAATCATCTCAGGACAGCAAAGGGGATGTTACAAATTGCTCTGAAAGAGGTGAATAGATCTGATAGGGTTTGTGGTTGCCACCATAGTGGCAGTGGGGGAGAGGGCGCTACTGGCATTTAGTACGTGAGAGCCAAGTATGCTGAATATATTGCAATACGTTGGACAGCTCCTCACAATAAGTAATTATTCTGCATGCTATACGAAGTTTGAATGTCTCACTAGACATTCGTGTATGACCTAGAGCTCGCCTGCAAGAATATAGTTATTTCCTCATTTTCTTCATTTCGACAATCTGTAGAGTTTCTCTTTTTTTAAGTTTATTTTATTTTATTATTTTTTTTTAATTTTTAAATTTTTTTGGCTGCACCACACAGCATGTGGGATCTTAGTTCCCCAACCAGAGATCGAACTACTGCCCCCTGCATTGGAAGCACGGAGTCCTAACCACTGGACCACCAGGGAAGTCCCTAGATTTTCTTGCATAGTATCTTCATTTCAGTTAAGGTGGTTTCGTTCTTTCTCTTATAGAAATAAGTATTATCATATGCAGATAAGTTACTGTATCACTAGTTTTTTTTTTTTTTTTTGTATCACTAGTTTTGATTCCAATGTCCACTCGTATCCCTGCTTTTTTATTTTCCCGTACTTCTTTATGCAGAATAGCTTCTGATCTCCTACCTTCTTTTAAGTTCAAATTTATTCTTTATAAGTAGATGTAAACGTCTGACTACTTAATGAGGTCTTGTAGTATAGTTGTGCCCAAGTTATGTACCTTTCATCCCCTTTTATGTTGGTATTAATTTTATTTAATTTTTACTTTCCTTCTAAAATTGTTTATAGGTAGAGTATATTACCACTGAATTGCATTTTGAGGATAATGAAGAGGATGTTACAAAGTATTTGTCATTAAAAAAAAAAAAAAAAAGGCAGGAATGCTGGGTGAGAACCACCGAGCTAGGTTAAAAGGGGCACCGAAGAACTGAAAGAAAGCCAGGGTGACTGTGAAAGAAAATAAATGAGAGGATAGGGAAGGGAGAGAGCCTCTGGAGCCATGATGATGATTTTGAACTTTATTCTAAAGGCATGATCAGATTTGTGTTTTGAAAGTAAAAAGTTTTAAATTCTTGCTGCTAAGCAAAGAACAACTTAAAAGGCGACAAGGAGATATTTAAAGAGGAAAACATGGGAACTGCTTAGATGTGCAGGGGGAGGGAAAGAAAGGATGACTTCTGCATTTCTGCTTGAGCAGATGTTTTTCTGGGGGAAAAACTGATTTGTTTGAGATAGGCAGATGGAGAGCTCAACTGTGGACATGCTGAATTAGAGATGGCTGTGAAAGATCCAACTGGAGATGTCCAGTGGGCAGTCGTACAGAGTTGGATCAATAGCATCTCTACAATGTGAGGGTCAAGATCAGGAAGTGAAAACTCCAAAACAGAAGCTACCATGAAAAAAATAAGTGAATGAAAATATTTTTGGCAAGCCTCTCAAAAAATAACCCTACCCTAAAACATATCTTATACATTTGTTACTGTTGGAGCCCTTTAAAGCCAAGGAGCTGTAGAGATCTCTGCACTGCTCTAAAATCTAATATAAAATCAACGCTAACGCTAATTAATTTTTATAACAAACCTGCTGGAAGGAACTGTAACAGGAAATGTTGGCGACTCCTATGCAACGTTGAAAACGAAAATTGGAAGGAAAACCCTGATTCATAATAAGAAAGGAACTCTTGTTCCAGGCACCTCAGCTGCTCTAAAAACTGATTGTGCTGCAATTCCACACAATCCGCCATATTTAGAAAAAGAAGCCCCTAGCAGGTGCGAGGCTTGTTTGGGGCACTGTTCTCTTTGTTCTGATTCTGTCTCACTAGGAAACTCATCTCACCTCCTTAGGGGCCCATCCTTCACCAGAGGGCCCTGCTCCTCATTTCCTGACGAGCCTCAACTGCCACAGGGAACGACTACAACAGCTCTCAGATTTCTCAGTCGTGCTCGTGTGAATCTGGTTACTGCAACTCAGTCCCCCAAGATACCAACCAACACTTCATGAAAGTCTGACCTGAAAAAAGCCTTCTCTGTAATCATATTAGTTAGAATATAAATGTCTACTTTGCCGTCATTTCGTAGAGCCCAAATGGGCAGTTAACTCCAGTTGGTTGCTTCTCTCTGAGCCCCACTGAGCAGCTTTTTTTATTGAATTTCAGAAAGAGTCAACCTGGATGGAGTGTCCTAAATAAACGCAGAGATAAAGAAATGCATGCCCCCAAATCAGTTTCACCACAAAGAAAAGGTATAATACTGCAGTTATGTCCATGCTAGCATTTAAATTGCCCTTACATTTTTTCCCCAGTGTATCCCTAAGAATTTTCCGCCAACTTTTCACCATCTTCCATCCAAGATTTGCTTGTACTGTCTTATGTCTTTATTTCAATAGGCATTTTTAGATTTCTCTCAAATTTCCCAAATTAATTTTCTTTCAATTTAACCAAAACAAAACCATGTCATGCAATAAACTAAAAGAGTAGTTGGGAGAGAAAGTTTGCTGCAATTACAGAAGTTTTAGAAGTGAGCCTGTATCAGTTACATCTAAGGCAGTGATTCCCAAACTTCAGACACGTTTCAATCCTCTTCCTGGCTCTCATCCCCAGAAAAAGTGATTTCGTTGGAATGGGGTGAAATCTGGACAGTGGAATGTTTTAGAGCTTCCTAGATGATTCAGATGTGCAGCAAAGTTTGGGAACCACTGATCAAAGGCATTTATAGGAGAGGAAATGTACGTTTAACTATTATCTGGGGCAGTCTGGTTCTATAAGTGAACAGAATAGTTATGGCATCCTTTATGACGCTGTAACCAACATTCCTAACTAATCACGCAGGCTTTGTCTGTTTCCGTATATTCAATCACATATTCTGGGTAAATCTGATCTTTCTGAGGGATGACAAAAACAGAGGGATTCAACCTTGTATCCACACAGCTGTCATACCGCAGAGGAGGGCTCATGTAAGCCTTATGTCCTTCAATAAAATCTCCAACCAGGACTCGGGCTACAAACATAACGATGTTTTTGGGATCACACAGGCAATTTTTATGGGAATTAATGGCATCTTTTGTGAAGTAATTTCCTAGAAATAATCAGAAAAAGAAAAAGGTTAAGAATTATTATAAAAGAAGATATACAGTTTATAAGATTATTTACACATAATCCCGTGATAGGCATTGACCAAGTATATATGTCAGCAATAGCTTACTGATACTTATAACTTTCCTTTGTACTTAAAAAAATGTTCATTATGCAAGTAAACTTGAATACAGTGTGTAACCCTACTGAAATAACAGAAACATCTGCTACTCTGCAGGATTCACAGGTATGGGGTTAAGCCACCGGATACAATGAGCAACTGCTGATATCACAGTGGCCCAATTCATGCAAGGCAAGTTGAATTGTAACTGATAAACCAAAGATACTCTAACAGAGTATTATATTGTGTACATTCTAAGGAGGAAAAGTCATTTACTACTATGGGAAGGTTCTGGAAAAAGGGAAAATGGGGACGAGATGTAGCACGAGCAAACAACCGACCCTGGCAGAGCTCTTCAGACAGTTGATCCATCGCCTCAATTCTAAAACAACCTCTGATAATCACTGATGTTTCCAAACGCAGCAGATCAACAACCATGTCCTGACAAATTAAAATTTCCTGTTTTTATTTTTATTATTGCCCAATGTTTTTCTGCCCTTTAAAGGAGTATATATTGCAAATTCTGATTTTCTATGCAAAAATTAATAAGTAAAATGAATTTGCTGTATTTACGATGACATGTGTTTAATACATTTTTCTTTTCTTTTGCTTGGTGTTATTATTGATTTTTTTTTTCATAATGAAGATGTTTGAATTCCAGAAATATTGCTTATCCTGAATAAGTCAGATACAGGCCATTCTGGGTAAATGATGTTCAGCTATATTTAGAATTAAAAACTAAAAGTCTGGCTATACTGACCTACCATTTACACTCCCACTCTCCTTCCCAAACACAGTTAATGGCCTGGTGGGAATACTCTCACACTTGTTTCTATGTATTTACATACACATATGTACATAAACTCTGATAAGTTTTATGTTTATTTGTTCCTAAATGGGATCATGCTATATGAACTGTTCTACAACTTTTTTTCCTACTTTAGTCCAAGAAATCTTGCTATGTCAGTACATCTAACCCCAACTCATTCTTTTTAATGGCTGTATAGGATTCCACTGTAAGAATGCATCATAATTTAATTTAATTAATCCTGAAATTAACTGATGAAAATGTAGGTTGGTTTCACTTTTTTTTGTCTATTACCAGTCATACTTCTACATAAATGCTAAAATATCCTAATAAATATACCTTTGAGAACCCATATAAATATTTCTGTAGAACAGACTGCAAAACTATAGGGGCTGAGTCATAGGATATGAGCATATTAAAGTTTGATATCACAAACCGCCCTCTAAAAGTAATCTAAAAATGTTACCACCAATAATAAAATCCTGTTTTCTCCACATCCTTGCCAACATTGGATATTATCTATCCTTTTAATTTTTGTCAATATACTGGGCAAAAAGATCTGATTTTAATATGCATTTTCTGAAGACTAGTATACTGAGCATCTTTTCATATGCTTATTGGCATATTTCATATATGCCAATATATGAACTGCTTTTTCATCTTTTTTTCTCTGAACTGCTTTTTCATCTTTTTTTTTTCCTGTTGTATTGTCTTTTTCTTACCGATGTGTGACCAAAACAAGCTTAAATTCAAGAACTAGTAGGTCCATCAAGATCTTTTTACAGTCTTATGCAGTGAGCCAATAGGTACTTGGAAAATGACCAGGGATACAAACAAAAGTCAACCCACCACATTTCTATTGTGCCACCCACTCCTCTCTGTGCCAAAGATGCTCCTTCAGCTGCATTCTGTACTGCTCTGTTATAGCCTCCGCAAGCAAACTAGGACTAGAGGCTGTGCCCTCTTTTTTTTTTTTTTTTGGCGGTACGCGGGCCTCTCACTGCTGTGGCCTCTCCCGTTACGGAGCACAGGCTCCGTGGCCATGGCTCACGGGCCTAGCCGCTCCGCGGCATGTGGGATCTTCCCGGACCAGGGCACGAACCCGTGTCCCCTGCATCGGCAGGCGGACTCTCAACCACTGTGCCACCAGGGAAGCCCCATACTTCATTTCCTAAGTGTCTACAAAAAGCAATTCCTCATATGTCAATTTCTAGAACTTCTAAACAATTCAAGCTGTTTTGGAATGAAATCTTTCTAAAGCATACACACCTCTCTGATTTAAAAAAAAAAACAGAACAAACTCATTTTACCCTTTATTTTACTAATACCTCAGATGCAGATATTAATTCTGACATATGGTGTTATAACAGGGGGATGCCCTGTTGAGTTACTAAGGTGGATAGAGCTGTTTTCTCCTATACTAATGACTCCAGCATGAGAAAAAAAAATGGTGTTTGTGCCTTGCAGATCATTTTTCCTCCTTCTCCACTTAACAGCTATTAACTTCCTTCTTGCTGCCTGCCTCTAGTATCTCTTTATTCCCACTCCACACACGTGCTGGGCTGAGAAAGAAAACACTGTTATTGGCATAAGACTAAATGGATTCTGGGGAGCTCCCGACGATAAACATACATGATCTTTGGCACAGAAATTTTATGGCAACATGGGCTACTTATACACAGTTGTTCACTCTTTCAGACCCTGAGTGACATTCCAGAATGCTAACATTTACAGATAAGTGAATTCCAGTTATGCATGTAAAAGGTGTAAATAGTATGGAATTACTGGTAAAAACAGATTTGACTTAAAGCAATTGGAATTAGCCATAAAACCTATTTTCGACATTCAGGGATAGCTGTACATATGTCTTAATGGCACTGAGTTTTTTTTACAGTTGTTCAATTAAATTTTTTCTATCTTCTAAGAAAGTCTGAGTGCTAATATGATTATTTTTGTTTATCAATGATAACTGAATGAAGAATGACTCTTTCTACAGGCATTATAGATCTTTGGAGGACATTTTTATCATTCTCCATTGAGAAAAGAGTAACCATCACCCTAAATAACTGATTTTTAAAAGAAAGCATCCGGCTTTTTTTCCTCTTCTTTTCTTTTTTTATGGAACGCTTCACGAATTTGCGTGTCATCCCTGAGCAGGCACCATGCTCGTCGTCTCTGTATCGTTCCAATTTTACTATATGTGCTGCTGGAGCGAGCACAGCATCAGTTGTTTTTAAATCATGCTTATATAATCTGGAGTCTACATAAGCTTAAATGATCCAAACCAAAGACCCAACCTTTTAGCCCACTCTCCTAAGACCTGGACTCTGTCTTGTTGCAAATACCCCTTTCAAGGAACAGATCCTTTGAAACCCAACATCCTCTTCCCTCCTTCTGCCACTGCGTGGCTGTAGGCCACCCTCATTTCTAGCCGGGACTCCTGAAACAACCTAATTGTTCTCTCCACCTGCAATCCTGGTCCTGCCCGTTCTCTTCACACTGTAGCCAGAGACATGTCATTTCTTTCCTAAAGCCATTGGTGGTTTGCAGTTGTCCTCAGGATAAAATCCATCATCCCTTTAGCATGGCTTGCAAGGTCTTTAAGAATCTGACCCCAACCTACGGCTACCACCTCATCTTTCGTCACTGTCACCACACCTTAAGTGTGCTGTGCTGTGCTGTCCACAGCCTCCCTGGCCTTTGTCAATCTCTCGTCTTCATAAACACTCTTCTCTCAACTTTTTTTTTTTTTTTTGCATAGTTAGCTTTTGTTTGTCCTAGAGATCACACTTAGACTTCACAATGTGCTGATTTTCTAGAGTCTGCTTTGATTCATTTTTTCATTCATTCAGTATAACTGATATAATGGGATAATACTGTCAAAAATATTATGCTCTTTTCCTTCCAATTCTTTATACACAACTATCCTTCATTTAGCCAGACACATACTTTGCCTCAAAGAGAATTAGAATCTTGGAAGGAATATATAAGGAGAAAGAATTATGATCAGCTTTTGATTACCAAAATAGGACCTAGGAATACATGGCAAAAAATGGCAGACTTTGTTAACTAGAAAGAACTCTGAATAAGACCAGGAGAAGGAACCCTCTCCCAGTTGAGAGTCAAAAAGGGCCAACTTGCCTCTGACTCAGTCTTTCAGGGACCTAGGGTCTGGGCCCAGAGGGTGGTCAGTGGCTAAAAGTCAGAGATGACAGGGGAGTCCAGGAGCAGAGGAATGCGTGTGTTGCACTCCCCGGTAGAACACCAACATTCCAATGCCCTGGAGACTCTTTGGAGTTTTCTACATAGACACTCAGATTATCTTGACATTTTTGTTTCCTTCTTTCTAACCATTTGGCATCTTGAGGTACCTGGGTGGCAGAATCTTGCACCCTGGATCCTAAACATGTTCCCTGACCATATACATGACCCGTCTAGGGTCTTGAATCCAGCTGGTATCAGGACAGGTCCTTCCTTGCTTAGCCGCCCCCCAAACAAGTGCTTTTTCTAATTTCACTTTGCTTCTGCTTTTTATCCAAATCTGAGTTTTTATAATCTCCTCTGCTGTTAAGGTGGGTGGCTTTCACCTAACTGCTGCAGTTCTCCTCAATCCAGTCTGATCAGTTCTGGGCCACCTTCCAGCCTGTAGGAACTTGCTTACTCACCTGCCTTCCACTCTTCTCCTCTACGTCCTGTTACATGCCTGGTTTCCAACTCCAGTTTATCAAGATGTAACCCAGAGCCCTTCTATCCTTCCAGGCATGTCTTACCACCTCTTACACATAATCATGTATAAATTACACAGACAACAGCCTATCCAGAGGGGTTTCACGTGTGCAACAGGGGTTTTTTTTTTTTCCCTCAGAGAGTAGCCATCTCTTTGAGATCTGCTCCTGGGCCTCTTTTAAGATAACTGCCTGATCTTTTCAAGATTATGGGTCCAGTGGTTCATACCAGTCTATCTAGACCGTATTAACAGCATCATGGGAGGCAGGACTGGAAAGCCAACATTAAAAATAAACACAAACAGGGGCTTCCCTAGTGGCGCAGTGGTTAAGAGTCAGCCTGCCGATGCAGGGGACACGGGTTCAAGCCCTGGTCTGGGAAGATCCCACATGCCGCGGAGCGGCTGGGCCCGTGAGCCACGGCCGCTGAGCCTGCGTGTCCGGAGCCTGTTCTCCGCACTGGGAGAGGCCACAGCGGTGAGAGGCCCGCATGCTGGAAAAAAAAAACACAAAAAACAGAACAAAAACACCCCCTAATTCCATGTAACAAGAGACAGGCCAAGGAGCAGGACCCCTCCCTGACCTTCACAAGGGAGAGTGGAATGGGGAAAGGTTCCTTGAGGAACACCCTGCACGTCCAGAGAACTGCAGGCACCCTCCTCGCCTCTTGCATCCATGCTACACAAAGGCGTATACTTGGCCACGAACAACTCTCCCCTTTCACCAAGTTAAAGGAAGAATGACAGCCAGTGAGTAACACTGTCAAGCCATCCAAATACATTTCAGAGCGTTTCAGCACTCTTCTGTTCATAAAAGAGGAGAAACAGACGAGGCATCCAAGAATGTCACCATTAAAGCCAGTTATGGCCACGACCCGGGAACACGTATATATATATATACCGTATTTCCATTCTCTAGGAGAAATATTTGTTTGACTTCTGACATAAGAGACTCATGAGAGGGCTTCCCTGGTGGCGCAGTGGTTGAGAGTCCGCCTGCCAATGCAGGGGACACGGGTTCGTGTCCCGGTCTGGGAAGATCCCACATGCTGCGGAGCGGCTGGGCCCGTGAGCCATGGCCGCTGAGCCTGCGTGTCCGGAGCCTGTGCTCCGCAACGGGAGAGGCCACAACAGTGAGAGGCCCCGTGTACCACAAAAAAAAAAAAAAAGAGACTCATGAGAAACTGATGGGTTTAAATGTCACACCTGTTATATTTCACTCAAGATGGTTACTCCGCTATCTCCAAACATTTCTCAGTAGGTATTAGTGATGTGTTTAAACTTAAGAAACTTAAGAAATGCTCATCTAGTCATTCCCCAGCTTAAAACCCTTCATTAGCTTCCCCTGCCCTGGGGTCAAGTCTATTGCGTGGCCATGTCTTGGACCAATTATTCCTGACTCTATGAGGCTGGTGAACCCCACCTGTTCTTAGGAATACCTCTCCAACCTGTTCAGGTGTCCACAAGGCCTGTTCTTTTCATCTACAGCAGCTGAACATTTGCAATCATTAAATTATGTAAAATAATGGTGTGGGGGGGAGCATGTCTAACTTGTTCACCACTGTGTCCCCAGCATGTAGCACATAGAAGGCACTCAAAAATATTTGTTCACTGACTGATTGGCTTCTTGCTTTTGGGGGGGGGCATTGAATTTAATCTTAGTTATATGAGTTGAGCCCCCTTTGAAAATGTGATAAACTATTACTTGTTCCCTTAAGATGAGTGATTCTTGGACTTGCCTGGTGGTGCAATGGTTAAGAATCTGCCTGCCAGTGCAGGCGAGACGGGTTCAATCCCTGGTCCAGGAAGATCCCACATGCCAAGGAGCAACTAAGCCTGTGAGCCACAACTACTGAGCCCACATGCTGCCACCATTGAAGCCCACGCACCTAGAGGCTGTGCTCTGCAACAAGAGAAGCCACCACAATGAGAAGCCTGCGCACCACAACAAAGAGTAGCCCCCGCTCGCTGCAACTAGAGAAAGCCCATGCACAGCAACGAAGACCCAGCGCAGCCAAAAACAATTTTTTTTTTTTTTTTGCGGTACGTGGGCCTCTCACTGCTGTGGCCTCTCCCGTTGCAGAGCACAGGCTCCGGACGCACAGGCTCAGCGGCCATGGCTCACAGGCCTAGCCGCTCTGCGGCATGTGGGATCTTCCCGGACCGGGGCACGAACCCGTGTCCCCTGCATCGGCAGGCGGACTCTCAACCACTGCGCCACCAGGAAAGCCGAAAAAAAAATTTTTTTAAAGAAAGAAAAAAAGATGAGTGATTCTTTGGTTTTTGTTTGGTTGGCTTTTGGGTTTTTGGTTTTTGAGTTGCATGAAGGAATTTAGGAACAAAAAGAAAGAGCTGAAAAGATTTTGTGTGACCACCGGTGTGACCTGAGATGGGAGAGGCCTCATCTCCCATCTTTGATTAGAACCTAGCAGTGGCAGTAGGATGGGCATAGGTCAGGAAGAGCCATGGCCGGTACTGAGTAGCAATGGTAGACAAAGTCATCAAAAAGGGGGAGTACCTTGCAAGATGCATGAGATGCCTTGGTTTCCCCGCCCTGCCCTTCCCGCAAAACACAAATGACAGGAGGGAAGCAGGGCTAAGGTGCAGTGATCAAGTCCCACGGCAATTTCTCACTCTACTTTGGACATTTCAGGTTAACATGAGCTTATTTTCTCTCCATGACTGTAAAAGCCTGGATGTGCTGGTTAATACAAAATAATTACATATATCTCATAACAGGAGCATGTGTAGAGCCTGAGCGATGGTTTCTACTAGTTTGGCTTCTCTATCCCATACAAACCTTTTCCATATTTGGTGTCACAAATTCCATGTATGACCCAGTCAAAATTATTCGCACAGACAGACTCTACATGGGTGCGTCTCACTGCACAAAATAGGATTCGCTCGTCTCTCTTCACCTCCTTTTTCTTCCTAATATAAGAAATGTGAGACTTAGTATCGGGAACATTCCTCCTCCGCTCCCGTTAATAACATTAATCCCAACTAAAGTCTAATCATCTTAAAATTTTATTCTGCTAGCTTTCAGAATGGAGCTACTAACATTAAGGCAACAGCTGTAAAAAATAAATATATGAAAACTTTTAAATGATAGACACATGAAAGCATTTAATTGTAAAGCTGCAGCTGAAAGAGAGAAGCTTGAGTGGACACAACGAAAACACAACTAAAGATTGAAGAAACTGTTGACTACTAAAATGAACCAGTGAATGTAAATCTTAAAAGACAGATCTTCACTAATCCATTCAAACTTTATGTCAAGACACCTGATAATGTGGCCACCAACCTCTCAAAAGCCTTCAAGAGCTTTGCGTTCTGGATCTTCTTTATCTTTTCAATCTTGAAATTTTTCATGGAAGCTTTGAAATGCTCACTCACTTTGGCATATTCCAGAGAGTCATTATTGATCTCAAACAACTAAAAAAAATTTTTAAATATATGAGTGTGAAGCAGGAAACATTTAAGGCATGATATGTCCATATGTATGGCTGCCTGTGCCACGGAGTATCCTTGCCAGGCCTCTGACAGCAGATGGGATAAGCTGGCTGAGGCCTTCCACATCTGGCAGTCCATTCCGGTGATGAACTAGATGGCATGGAGCACGTCTGTTCAGGCTGACTTCAGGCTAACAGAGCATTATGCCTGAAGGCAAACGGAGCGTCCCCACCCCATCCCCAGGTGTGTGACTTAGTTAGTCCAATGACCTGGTGAGTTCCCTGCCTAAGGCCAGTGCAGGGGCAGAGGCACTGGAGGTACCCAAGGAGCCCAAGCAGAGCTGCCTGCACCCAAAGCTGGAGTCTGATGTGGAGTCTAAATGGTCCAGGAAGAGTCTCGCCCCAAGCAGGCGAGGTGATGAGGTAAGGCACACTTCAACTCCCACAGAAACTTGTTTGTTAACTCCAGCTAACGACAAGTCGCTTTTACTGTGAGTTCCAGTTTTCTCATCTGTAAGGTAGGGAATCGAATATCTATTTTACAAGTTTGTTGTGAGGATCTATCCCAAGGAGATCGTGTATGCCTGGACTCTGGAAACAGAGTGCCCTGGAGAAGACTTGTTCTCTGGGAAAGTGGCACATGACACAATCACCATTTAGATGTCAGCCTTTGCATCTTGATTCAAGGGTTTTGCAGAAGCGATTCACTCACTCCTTCACTCATTCATTCATTCAAATACACACATTTGTAGCAAAGTACTTTGTCCCATCTTTAAACAATTCACCCACTAAAAAGTAAAAACCAAGTACCTCATAGCCAGTTGAGGATGAGGTGCACGTGCCCCGTTGAGGACTAAATACCGAGGTGAAAGGCTCTGGTTGGGTCCTCATCTGCTGATGGCTGCAAACAAGACAGAAAGAAATTCACCTGGCTCCCCGTTTCATGTGCCCAAATCACCTTCTGTGCTTAACTTCAACGAAGGTGAGGTTCCTCAGAAAACTTCCCCTTTGTATCTTCTTTGGACTACATCCCTGCATATTCCTGGTACACACATATCAGTAATCATGCTTTTAAAAAAGGTGGTAATCATTCATAATTTGGTAAATTGTTATTTTCCCATTGATTTAAAATGTAAAAGCCTTGACTCTTTTTTACATTTCTGCTTAACCTTCAAAGGTCCTAATGTGTTAGCATTAAGTTTGTCTTACAGTTTCTTTGTCAAGTGATAAACACTAAAATAGGGGTATAGGGGAAAGAATCCTGCCTTTCCTGGATGAACTGTATTTCAGAGTAACCATACACGTGGGTGTTCTCTACTAACATGTACAATACATAGGGATTTATTGTACAATTTTAAGTTTGAAATTTTCCATAATGAGAAAATTAAATTTTTAAAAATGCTTTAAGGAAAAAAACTCTTTAAAGACCCCCTTCTGGGGCTTCCCTGGTGGTGCAGTGGTTGAGAGTCCGCCTGCCTATGCAGGGGACACAGGTTCGTGCCCCGGTCTGGGAGGATCCCACATGCTGCGGAGCGGCTGGGCCCGTGAGCCATGGCCGCTGAGCCTGCGCGTCCAGAGCCTGTGCTCAGCAACGGGAGAGGCCACCACAGTGAGAGGTCCGCATACCGCAAAAAAAAAAAAAAAAAATACCGCCTTCTGTAAAATGAAGATTCTTTTGGCATGAAAGAAATTGGCCCCAATTTATATTTTAAGCTCTGATTTCCATACTATGCTAGTATAGTGCAGAACAAATTCAATTAATACGTTGTAAGGTGCTCATCAACAACGCTATAGTTCATTTCTCTTTGGGCTGTTCAGAATAATACTCACAGCCCTTAATCTGTCCTAAAGCAGTATGTCCCCTCTGGGCTCATGACAGCAAGATTCAAGCTGGTTCTCTCCACAGCCGCCCACGAACAGTTTTCTCAATTCATTTTATTCACTCACTCACTTAGCTGACTATTTAGTATCACTACGTACCATTCATCATACAGAATATTTCAAGAGCTTTGAGGAGCTGATATTTGTGGAGGGGAGGGAAGAGGTGGAGGATTATGCTAGGGGAGACAGGTGGGAGTGTACTTGACGCCTCTCAACACTGCGATATTTTTACTTTATTCATTTGAATGTTAAAAGAACTGGAGGGAAGCTTAGCTGGCTAGGCTGATCCGATTCTAATTCTTGGGAGTTGGAATTAAGAAATTCAGAGAAAATTGGGTAGTAGCGGCAGAAGGTACAGCTGAAGGGATATAAAGATTGGAATAGAGTCCGCCTGCCGATGCAGGGGACACAGGTTCGTGCCCCCGTCCGGGAAGATCCCACATGCCGCGGAGCGGCTGGGCCCGTGAGCCATGGCCGCTGAGCCTGTGCGCGTCCGGAGCCTGTGATCCGCAGCGGGGGAGGCCACAACAGTGAGAGGCCCGCGTACCACCGCAAAAAAAAAAAAAAAAAAAAAAAAAGATTGGAATAATGAGGTTAAAATTGTCAAGCATTAGCCAGAGAAAAGTCTTAGGAGATATAAAGACAGATATGCACATAGATACAGATAAGGTTGCTGAGTCTCTTAGCAGGGGAATAAGAATAAGAAGAAAAGCAGCTAAGATATACTTGACAAATGTACTAGGATCAAGCCCATGTTACAGATGCGGGGGATGCAGAGTGATTAGTTTGTCCAAATGCACACAACTAATAAGCAGCAGGCAGAAGCTGAGCCTAGACATGTAGCTCCAGAGTCCGGCCGTTAACCTGGTCACAGGCAAAGATCTGTGACCCCAGGCTGCTCAGGCCCTAAAGCAGCACTTGGACCCAACTCCCGGTCCTAAGGCCCTCAGAGAGCTCAGCTCCCCAGCCTTGGCTTGTAAAACGTTGTTTTCCCTACTACACCACGTTTATCCCTTTTGTAACTTCCCGTTTCCATGGAATACCTTAATTCTTACAACCAAAAGGACCTAATTAGAACACAGACTTCACACCTGCCTCGACGTCTGTTTTACATAATCACTCATCACCCAGGAAAAAAAAAATCCAACTCCAAAAATGTTCATGAGCAATGTAGGTTTGACTGAGTTTCATGAGCAGACAGAGGCGTCACACTGAAACCCCACAGCAAAATTTCCTTTACAAATCCCCTTTCATCAACTTTATCTTTTCCCAAAGCCTTTGCTCAGGCAGCTACCACATCGCTTTTTTTCTCTCCATTTCTTTCTCAGCCTCCCACCCCTATAAATACACTCAACAAAACTAAAGATATCCAGAAGAACCCATAGCAAAACAAAAACCCAGTAATTGTGCATTTGATTCTTTCCGGGGAACAACCAGCCGTTCCCAGCTGAAGAAGCTGAGCCCAGAGTAAGAGATCTGCCCAAAGTCCCCCAGGAATTGGAGGGAAAGACAGACTTCCTGCTCTAGAATTCTTTCAGTCACGCTGTACCGCTTAGCAAGTACCTCACTCATCGTTAAAGCAAAAGGAAATTGCAGTGTTATATGAGCAGGAACATTTCAGAAAACAGGGTCCAGATTCATGAGCGACTCAACGAGGTCAACGTGTTAACATCTCAAACGTGTGCCGGCAAGCAGCGTTCCAGACACTCACACTTGTCCATGTTTCACCTGCTCCACATCCCAGTAAGACACAAACGTCGGCCTTCTGACGATATCCTTTTGGGTCTTGGAAGCTATGTTTGTCTGAATCATCCCTTTAGACAGAAAAAACAAAACACAAATCAAGAATCAGTCCTAGGAAATGATTTATTGTTATTTTTCAGAGGCTAGTAACACAGCAAATATTCACGACTCAACTGTACACGTAAGAATCGAGAAAATCCTTTTGGATGGAAATTACTCATGATAAAAACTTGTATTTTTCACTGCCCTTAGTATAAGACCCAGAAAACAAAGAGGTAAATGAGCACTCCTGAATTAATCTAATCTTTAAATCAAAGTCAGGTGGTAAAGAGAGCCAGGGCAGCCAGATTACGTCACCCATGACAGGCTTCAACGATTATGGGTTGGAACGTGGTAGCTATATCTTAGAAGCTTTTTCCTTCCTCAAATGTGAAATGTCATTTTCAATTCACACATGTTGTACACCTAAGTCTAAGCTGCAGGCAGCATGAGCTCTTTAAAAAGTAAATCATCGTACACTGCTAGTGAAAGTATAAAACGGTGCAACCACTTTAGAAAACAATTTGGTAGTTTCTTATAAAGTTCAACATACACTGCCCATGCAATCCAACAATCCCACTCCTTAGTATTTATCCAAGAGAAATGAAAAGCTACATCCACACGAGAACTTGCGTTTGAATGTTCCTAGTAGCATTATTACAAGAACCAAAAAGTGAAAACAACCCAAATACCCATCAACAGGTTAATGGCTAAACAAACCATGGTATATCCATTTTTTTTAAAATTTATTTTATTTATTTATCTTTGGCTGTGTTGGGTCTTTGTTGCTGAGCGAGGGCTTTCTCTAGTTGTGGCGAGCAGGGGCTACTCTTGGTTGCTGTGCGTGGGCTTCTCAGTGCGGTGGCTTCTCTTGTTGCACAGCACGGGCTCTAGGCGTGCGGGCTCAGTAGTTGTAGCTCGTGGGCTCTAGAGCACAGGCTTAGTAGTTGTGGCACAGGGGTTTAGTTGCTCCGTGGCATGTGGGATCTTCCCGGACCAGGGCTCGAACCCGTGTGCCCTGCATTGGCAGGCAGATTCTTAACCACTGTGCCACCAGGGAAGCCCCATGGTATATCCTTACAATGGAATATTACTCAGCAGTGAAAAGGGAAGGACTACTCTATATGCAACAACATAGATGAGTGAAAAACAGTATTCTGAGTGAGAGAAGAGAGCCATATGCAGAGTACACACTACAAGGTTCTATGTATATGGAATTCTAGAACAGATAAAACTAATCTATAGTGACAAAGTAAACCGGTTGCAGAGGAGAGACCGATTGCAAAGGGGCATAAGGAAACTTTTTGGATCAATGGGAGCGTTCTAGATCTTGATTAGAATAGTATTTGCACTCACTTGTCAGCACTCATCCAACTGCACACTTAAAATGGGCGCATCTTATTGCAGCAATTACGCCTCAGTACAGTTTTACTTCAACATCAATAAAACAATGACAGAAAGAGCAAATCAGATCATGCCACAGCCCTGCTCAAAACCTTCTCGAGGTTTCCAGCTCATAAAATATTTAAGTTTCAATGTCTTCTCTCATCTCTTACACACCTCCTTCCCATGTGCATGGGCTGCCCCCTCCCTTCCAAAGTTTCCTCCTCAGATAAAAGCAGGCTCTCTCCCGTGATTCCTCCATCCTCTTTCTGCCTCCTCACATTGCTTCATTTTCCCCGCAGCTGTAATTAGTTTCTGAAGTTGCCTGGTTTGCCAGCATCCAGAACGGGGCCTAACACACAACTGACACTCTAATACTAGTTTAATGAATAAGAGCAAATAAGAAGTAGAAAGAAAGTAGTCTGGAACACTGCAAACTTCTCTGAACTGGTTTCTATGAACCAAGTGAACAAAATTATGGAGCTAAAATTGTTCAGACTCAGGAACAAGGTATATTGGTTCTCACCTCTCCACCACATTTCACCACAGAGAATACCACCAAAAAAATTTTTTTTAATTTAAGCACATTTTTAATTTGACCACCCAACAGAGGAGATTTTTATTTTTCTCTATTGCCGTCTAGTCGTGGTCCACATGCATACATTCCTGCACTTATCATGCACATTAAATTTTTAAAAAATTCATTTCTGTTTTAAATATAACATAAAACCCAAAAAGTACAAGAAATACAAACTTGGGGTTCTGTCTTCTTCATTTAACAATATCAAATTTTGCTTTTACTGCACAGTTTTCATAATCATAATTTTTAACAACCGCCCAATACTCCACTGAAATTTAATACCTTAATGTGTTCAGTCACTACCTTACTGGTACACAAGCTATTCCTCTACTTCAGTACTATAAGTAAGGCTTTAACAGAGACCTTTATGCCTATAGCTTATTTTTTTCTTGTGAATTATTTCCTTAGAAAGATTCCTGAGAAAATAAAAAAGCAAGCATATTTTAATATCTCTGGATATGTATTGCCAGGTTGCTTTCCACAGAAGTTGGTATAATGGCCCTTCAAAGCTATATGACTTAACACACCATAACTGGTACAGGACCCAAATCTCAGGTACAACCTGGGAATGTCAAAGACCTGACAAAATCTCCTTTACCTCTTTCAAAGCACCTATAGGGCTGGGTCCTGGAAAGGCAAGTATCTGACCACACGCAAGGGGTGTCCCACGGATGCAGCCGATGGGACAGTACATTCAGAGGGAGAGCAGTTTCTGCCCTGGTTTTTTACTAAACACAACAGACAGATGGGTAGAAGGTAACCAGAAAATCTTCCTATGGAGGCTCAAATAAACATGGCGGAAGGCAAAGTCTTTAGAAAAGGTGATGGATAAAACCACTGACCTAGATGATGAAGCCTAAAAGGAACAGCAAGGTTCTAAAATTCAGAAGGGGGACTTCCCTGGTGGCGCAGTGGTTAAGAATCCACCTGCCAGGGCAGGGGACACGGGTTCGAGCCCTGGTCCGCGAAGATCCCACAGTGAGTCCGCGGGCCACAAACTGAAGCCCGCGCGCCTAGAGCCCATGCTCCGCAACAAGAGAAGCCCCCGCCATGAGAAGCCCTTGCGCCGCAACAGAGTAGCCACCGCTCGCCGCAACTAGAGAAAGCCCGCACGCAGCAACCGAGACCCAACACAGCCAAAAATAAACACAATAAAATAAATAAATTTAAAAATAAATAAATAAATGAATAAAATAAAATAAAACTCAGAAGGCACCCACAGGCCCAAGGTCTCTACTGCAATCATCAGCACCTGAGAATTCTGCCTCAATCTGGGAAGCAGCCCACCTAGAGTCAGAAATTAAGAATGGCAGAGCCGGAAGTACCCCCAGAGACCACGTAATCCAATGCCCCCATTTTACAGGGTGCTCGGTGCTGTCCCCAGCTACTCTGCGTCAGAGCCGAGGCTCCAGAGGACAGGTCTTCTGACCGCCACTGGCTCCCACCCACGGAACTGCCTGCCTTGCTAAAAAGAACCCGGGTCCTGAGCGCAGCACGCCGGGCTACTCCATTCCCACTCCCACGCGGATGCCACAGGCCGGATTCCAGCAACAGGCACCACTGCCAAACACAAAGACTTACCTTGGAAACTCAGCTCGTAGTTTTGTGAACCCGCCTGAAATGGCACAATTCCCCTGCGACAGGATAGAAACAGAGACTCCAGGTATGAAGAGTCGATGTTTGAAATGTGCTCATTGTCTTTCTAATTAAAAAAAAAAAAAAGGTAAAGACTTCAGGGTAGGCTTTTAAGAAATTTCTACTATGATATTTTATATAACTTTATTTTAGCCGTGGGATTTGAACTGGAATGCACCCTGCCTTTCAAATCAGACTACCAAGTTTCCTGGGTGGGACCACGTCACACCCTTCTGTAGTCTCCACCGCGGGGCTGAGAGCACGCTCTACACTGCAGAAACTGACCATACCCTTGGTGGAGGCCTGAAAAACAAAGCTCTTTGCAAGTCTTTTACACCTTCCATAAAATATGACTCAAGTGTACAGAGCAACTGGTACCCAACGTGCAGACATGATGTCTAACAGAATCCAACATCCTGCCATGAAGTAGAACATCACAGCTATCAGCCCATCACACGATGAGAAAGCACAGTTTAAAGCTGGTATGAAGGCATGTAAAACTCCAATAGGTATACTGCTGTCCAAATGAGAGTGACCTAGCCCTTCTCCTCTGGCTATAATGAAAGGGGCACCCCCAAAATGGAACGATATAATCTCCAGCCTCAAGGCACATATGATGGGTCTGAACACCAGAAAGGGAAGTAAAGGGAAGTGTGTCATCCTAGCAAGGGGGCAGACTAGGCCACCATTCCATTGTCCCCACCCTATGTCAGGGATGACAGACCAGATATAAGCCCCCAAGAGCAGGGGTTCCCAATATCTAATGGTAAGGAGTTCTTGTTCCTCGTGATCTAGAATGGAAGATGACAGCAAGATCCTGTTGGCAGCCGGTGGTGGGCAGGGGCTCCCAGTCCCTTTAATGACAGGCCAGACTCTGCAGGCTTCCGCTACATCCATCGCATTCCCCTTCCCTAATGGAAATGTCTGCAGGATGTAAAGGGGGAGAACCAGAACGAAAGCTTCCAAGGAAGGCGTCCCAGATAGAGAGGTCTCTTAGCCTGGAGAGGAACATGGTGGCACAGGAAAACTGGGTTCAAGTATTTGCACACAGTGCAAAGCAGGAATAAACTTGATGTGTTTCTGGAGGTAGAACCAGGACAAATGGGAGGAAGGAACAAGAAGGCTAACTTCAGCAGAACTTTCTGAACTACAGTCATGAACAATTACGTCATACCACAATGATGTTCGTTGCAACGGCTGCTGGGACATGTATCGGGATGATTGTAAAAGAGACTGCCATCCAGGGTGGGCAGCAGGAAACTGAGTTTCCATGATTAGATGATTCGCTGGGAAACCGTATGCCTTCCTCAGACCCCAAAGAATGGCTTAAGTGGGCAAACACCTGCGAGCAAGGGTGGGGGAAGGCAGCCATCACCTCTCGGCACCCTGGATTTTTGGGGGTTTTCTTTGTTTGTGCTTTTTTTTTTTTTTTGGCTGTACCACGCAGCTTGCAGCATCTTAGTTCCCTGACCAGGGATTGAACCCATGTCCTCAGCAGTGAAAGTGCAGCATCCTACCACTGGACCACTGGGCCCTGGGTACCCTGGTTTGATGACTTGAATCTCTGCCTTAATTTCCCATCCCCAAAGTCCTGTACCCCTCAACTGCCTGCTCAGCTCTGCAGAACCCTGTTCCTGGCTGGAAGGAATCTGCAAACTCTAGGTCAAAGCCTTTCAAACTTGAATGTAAATGCAAATCACCCAGATCTTGTTAAAATTTGCATAATGATTCAGGGGAAGTGGGGGAAGAGTTCTGGAGCCTGCATTTTTTTAAAGTTAATTAATTAATTTTATTTTTGGCTGCATTGGGTCTTCGTTGCTGCAAGCGGGCTTTCTCTAGTTGTGGCGAGCTGGGGCTACTCTTCCTTGCGGTGCACAGGCCTCATTGCCGTGGCTTCTCTTGTTGCGGAGCACGGGCTCGAGGTGTGTGGGCTCAGTAGTTGTGGCTCGCAGGCTTAGTTGCTCTAGAGCACAGGCTCAGTAGTTGTGGCGCACGGGCTCAGTTGCTCCGCAGCACGTGGGATCTTCCCGGATCAGGGATCAAACCCGTGCCCACTGCATTGGCAGGCAGGTTCCTAACCACTGTGCCACCAGGGAAGCCCCAGAGCCTGCATTTTGAACATCTCCCAGATGACACTGACATTGCTGGTCTGCGGACCTGACTTTGACCAGCAAGGCTTTAGGGTCCATTCAGCCATATTCACTAGAACTTTCTTTGACAATGGAAATTTCTCTGTGTTGTCCTATACGGTAGCCACGAGCCACATGTGGCTGCTGGGACAGCTGCTGGTAGAGCACTTAAAGTGTGACTAGTGTGACAACAACTGATTCTTAATTTTATTTAAGTTTAACTAATTTAAGTTTAAAATTAAATAGCCCCAGAGACATTGCTTTGGGAAAGATCCCCAGTGTTCTTCTTCCTTGCTGCAAGTAATAAATCCTTCCTTCTCTGGGGGAAAAAAAAAAAATTAAATAGCCACATATGGCTAGTGGTTGGCATACCGGACAGAACGAGGCCATTAAGTCAGTGTCTGAGCATCTGCACAGCCTCTCATGGTTCACGGGGACATTCCTCTGGCTCTGCCCTCACTGTACTCCAGTTCTGAATGGGTGAGTGAATGAATGAATGAATGGTAGAGCCTTCAATTATGCATTCTCCCAGAAGACTTGAATTTATACCTCAGTTTCAGTTACCAGGTCTCGGCTTTTGTCTTGTGCCTACATGTTTGCCTTGATCTCGGCTTTCTAGAGCTATGGCTTGCCCTTGTCCTGGGCAATTCCCTCAGGTCATGGACTCCTGCCCCAAAAGGCCAGCTTTCACAGCTACTAAGCTTGGCTATCTGCTGGTAAACATCTTGAGGGTCTGGATCTGTACCCCCTGACTGATGCAAAGCCCATGACTGCTACCTGGCTCTGCCCTCCAGTCACTCCTGCTGTAACTCCATCCTGCACCATTGCTGCCCACCGTCCTCTCCTGGTCCACCATCCATGGAGGTACAAGTCCTGGTTAAGCACCTGAACTGCCATATATCAATTCTACCTTCCAGAGGGTTCACTGTCAAACATATGCATCTACCCTTTGTTGGCAAAAGTTTCTATTTCTCCCAGTTCCTACCAGAGAGGTTCCTAACCCGGAAATCTCAGTTGCCCAACTCTTTTTTTTTTTAACAACTTCATTGGAGTATAATTGCTTTACAATGGTGTGTTAGTTTCTGCTTTATAACAAAGTGAATCAGCTATACATATATGCGCAACTCTTATTAAAAATTCAGTTGCAAGAAATAAAAGCTGTAGGGCTCTGTCTGAAAGCTATTCAGTCCACTCTTTTCTCTAAATATTCTAACCTGTACACTGGATCAAACCAGGTCATCAAACAGCTGTAAACTTGGACCATAATACATAATACACTGAACTATGAAAGAAACCAGGCTGCAACTTATGTTTGTGTTTCAGATCTCCCGGTACCACCATTTTTATTTTACTTGGATGACCAGCAAGGAAAACACCAAACCCAGGGCCTGTTTTCCCGTCCTTCCTTTCTTTTTTTTCTTTTTTTTTTTCCTTTTATAACAGAAGTGCCCACTCAATTTATATAATGATGGGTCTAACTAATATGAGACAGTAAGAGTTTATTCACATCCTCAAAGAACACATTCCATTTCTTACAACAGACAAGTGCCACAGATTCAATGACTATAACATTTTTTGTGTTCGTAGGTAGAAAGTTACATTCTAGAACTGTGCATTTAACACAGACTGAATATCCCAGGGAGAACTTCATATTAAAGAAGTTTTATCAGGAAGTTTCTTGATGTTTTACTAGGGGACATGAGTGACAGAACCTGTGTAAATTTAAATATGATCTTTTACCCCTTAAAGTTCCTTTTGGTCTCTGGGATCATGATGTCACTAGAATACAAATATTTTCTAACCCTTCTCCCCTATCTTACTGAAAATTGCAAGTATTTGACATAAGAACCATTGAGACCTATAGTTTACTATTTTAATTTCATTTCGTTTCGTTTCGTTTTATTTAATTATTTTATTTAATAACCAAGGCTAAAGAATTTGAGTTTATAATTTCTATTTCCCCAGGCACCTCACGGAATCACCTTTATGGAACTGCACTTTGACACCATCCTCGGCTTAAATGTAAGAGCCCGTACGAAGCTTAATATCACAGGGGTTTTCACGCCGAGGTGCTTGACAGGTCACCGCAGGAGGGGAAAGCAAAGAGCCCTGAGCCCCGTCCTCTTTGCACAGGGCACCTCTGCTTCACCCTAGTTCGCTCATTTAGGTTCTGTGAAAGATTGTTTGATAGCATGTATCTGCCGCTAAGACCACTGGGAAACCGCCATGTACTGCACGGATGGTGGGACCAAGGTTGAGGACCTCACTCACCACAGCACACAAGGTCCCCTCTGTGTGGCCCCGTAGGAGGCCCTTTTCTCAGGCCTCACTAACAGAGAAAAAGCCGTGCTTCTCCTGAGTAACTGGAATGGTCTTTTCACGGAGGCACAGGGGACCATGTAACATAGTGTTTCTTTGCTTGCTTTGACAGCTAGGGAGCGCAGAGCCATATGTGTAGCCCATCCACTTCTAACCCTAGAGAATCCGACGCTGGCATTTCCTCGTCCCCACTTTGGCTTCATTTCCATCTCTTGCTTTTCTTTTCTCTTTCTCATCACTCTGATTTCATTGCCTACTTAAGCTCCCTCCCTCCCTCCCTCTCTCTCTAATCCTATGAACCAAAGGAAAGAAAGGATACTAGACAGAAGCTCTGCTTATCTAAACTTCTCTCCCGAGAGGCATGGACATATGTGCACCACCAAACGTAAAATAGATAGCTAGTGGGAAGCAGCTGCATAGCACAGGGAGATCAGCTCGGTGCCTTGTGACCACCTAGAGGGGTGGGATAGGGAGGGTGGGAGGGAGACGTAAGAAGGAGGAGATATGGGGATGTATGTATATGTATAACTGATTCACTGTTATAAAGCAGAAACTAACACACCACTGTAAAGTAATTCTACTCCAATAAAGATATTTTAAAAAATTAAATTAAATTAAATTTAAAAAAATGAATTTCTCTCCCTTTACTATGTCCCTGTGCGGGTAAGTCTAGAATCTTCTAGTCCATCTGAATCCAGACTCTGACTGCATCCTAGTAACCACCTATATCAGTCTTCTGATTTCTCAGTCCTGCCTCCTCTTCTGGCTGAAAGCAGTAGTCTCTGTACATTTATGTACTAGTACATAGAAAGCTAGCTCAAGGTTCCAGCCCAGGCCCCGATAGCAAGGAAAGAAGGATATTGGCTGGCTCATGGATCAAGGAGTTCCTTAAAAATAATTATAATTTTTTATGATGCAATCGGAGTCCATGCTTGCTGGGCATCATGTAAAAAAGCACCACTTCCTCTACCATGTCCATGCTCCATGGGTAACCACGTGGGTGTCAGACACTGTACTACTAGTTTCTTCTGAAGTTGGCAAGTTTATACAAGAGCGTCCACCAGGAGGAATGGTACTCACCTTCTCTCCATATTGAACCCATTTGTCATATCCATTTCTCCAGTACCAAATCCATTTTGTGGTGAAGAGAGAACCGGCCGGCATTGTGACAGAGGAAGGCGTGGAGAGACGTCGGACAGGTTTATAATCACAAGTCATCTTCTGGAAACTGATTTTATAATTTCCAATAGAAATGCTGAGAGGGAAAAGTTTAGTGTTAACAAAATGCTTCACTGAAACAAAATGCTTCTGTTTTCTACACTCTGGTCTTCCCTAATAAGAGGATAGAATTAAACCTTGAGAGCTGAAAGGGATCTTTGAATTTCCCTTATACAGCTTTCGGTCTTACACATAAAAGAAAAAACTGAACTACAGAGAGGTAATGTAACCTGCCTGCCTCACATATTCAACGGTGTCACAGAATGTGTTCTTCCCTCAAAAAATATCCCCCATAGACAACTGTGCCCACACAAAACAATGGATTGGCTCAATGTTTGTTAGAAAGTCAGTTAGAAACTCACAGTAGGTCAGTTTTTTTCAATTATTATTCAAATAGTTATCAAAGTGTGGTCCAAGACCTTTTCGGGAGCCAGCAAGGTCACAGTTATTTTCATAATGATATTAAGACATCACCTGTCTTTTTCACCTTCCTACCCTCACAGGTGCACAATGGAGTTTTCCAGAGGCTACATGATGTTTGATTTCACAATAAAGAGATTTGCAAAAATATATAACAATTTCAGTCTTCTCAGTGAATTTGGTTTTGTTTTGTTTTGGAAAAGTTATTTTTATAGTTCTACTTATATACAGTTATATATGCATATAACTGTATATAAGTTAGATATATAATTATCAAAAAATGTTATGTTAACATGAATGAGTTTATTATTGTTATTTTTAATGTATCAGTAAATATTTAATTTTTCTCAGTTGTGATTTTTAATATGGTAAACATAAATAGCTATAATCCACATAAACGGAAGTTCTTTGGGATCCTCTATACATTTTAAGACTATATAGGGCTCCTGAGACCAAAAAGTTTAAGAGTTACTGCTCTATGAAACACCTCCTAGCTCAGTGATGTTCAACCAGGAGCGATTTTGTGACCCAGGGAACACTTGACAATGTCGAAAAACGTTTTTGTTTATCACAACTGGCATGCAGTGGGTGGAAGCCAGGAAATGATGCTAAACTGCCCTCCCCCCCCGAACAAATAATTATCTGGTCCCAAAAGTCAATAGCGCTAAGGTTGAAAAACACTGCTTCAGATATACCTGGGGGGAGAAATACATCTAGAAGCAAAACAGCTGACGCCACCCTCTAGTGGCAAAAGGTTGCAACACAGAATCTCCACCAAAAATTCACTAAATTTGCAGATGACGACACATCCATATTTTTCCCCCCAAAGAATGTCCTTGTAAAACAGGATGCAGCTTATAAATATGGTCATGGGTGGTATCACCCATATCAGCCCTAATAGAAGCAGAAATATAAGGTAGCCTCTTAGAAACCTCCAGGGTAGAGGAAATAGCGAACACGGAGGAAGGTATAAAATGCTAAAGTATACAACAAAATCCTGCCCTAGAACTATATGAAATGACTCAAATCATTTTCTCAAACTATGAAATTAAGTCAAAGCTCTTCTGAGCTCATCATTTAGTACTTGTAATAGTCCTACGATGAGCTGATAGGAATACAAACCAACCGACGCATTGTGTTGTTCTGCGGGACACACTGACAAATATTAACTAAACACATATTTGTGTCCCTGTTTATTTCACCTGAGTTAGCAAATACTCCCAGAGTCCCTTGTAATAGCCAGGCTCTGAGTGACTTCAAACCTGCCCCACTTATGTATTTTTCTTCATTAACTCAGCAGGCATTTGCCATTTTTATCTCAAGAGTTAACCTGAATGGGATTCTGAAGGAAAACTGCTTTTTCTTCTTCCCATAAGCATAGCACTGGGCTTTCTTCTGATGATATTGTGCATCTCACAAGCCAGACCGGCCACCAACTTACTTGCAGACTTGGGGGTCACAGAAGGCCTTCTCAATATCCTCCATGAACGGGAGGTCCATCCAGGTGTTTCCCAGTAACATCTGCCACCGGTAGGGCAGGTGGAAGTGAACTTTGTTGCACCTCTCTAAAAAAGACAGAAAAGAAGTCTCAGCGATTCGGCCAAGTTCACTGCTGACTCTCCCCATCCTTTCACGGCCCACCTTTCCCATCCTGCCCTGCAGGCACATTTCCCAGCTACACCTGTGCTCATGCTGGCCCCTACCTGCATTGCCCCAAACTCCAGGTTCCATTATTACCCATGGAGACTCATCAGAAAACAAAATTCTCTGCTCCCCCAAAAGCCATGTTACCCACATGGAAATCTGAGATCATTATAAATTTACAGTTACCCTTTCTGCACCCCACACGTGGATTTACTGAGACAAACTGCTCTCCAGCATAGGCAACTGCTTTTGTGTTTCCTTGAAGCCCTGACCTAAAATTCATCTCTCCCAGAAGAATTCCCTCACTAATCTCGTGCTCTTCTGAACTGACTTGTGTTTTGTATTCCCTCAGCCAGTGCTCGGGACTCAGTTTGTTCTTTATTTACGTATTTACTCATTTTACGCAGTTTTCTAATTTGTGCATGTTTCGTTTGTTTGTTTTCGGCCGCACCGCGCAGCTTGTGGGATCTCAGTTCCCCGACCAGGGATGGAACCCGGGCCCCCGGCAGTGAGAGTGCGGAGTCCTAACCACTGCCAGGGAGCCAGGGAGCTCCCAAATCTGTGGCTGTTTTGATGCCCCACCTTAACAACAAACTCATTGAAAAAAGGCCTGCATCATTGTTTAGCTTACTTCTCCCTTGCTTCACTGGCAGAGGGCTGGGCATGAAAAAGATGACCATTCAATGAATGCTTGCTGAAGAATGAATTAATGTTAGAAGTCCATAATACAGGAGTACAGAAAACAGTTCTATTTTTCACAATTTGCATTATGTTTCAACCGTTTTGAAATGTCTAAAAGATGTGTTACTACTTTAGAATAAAAAGAGGCAGGCTTAGACATCACAAGGAAATCCAGAGTGGCACTGCCTGGGATTTGGCTGACTCAGAAAGTATAACCTTCCTCACACCCATTAGAACGGCTGCTATAAACAAACGAACAAACAAATTAACAAGTGTTGGCAAGGACGTGGAGAAACTGCAACCCTCGTGCATTGCTGGTGAAAATATAAAATGCTACAGCCGCTATGGAAAACTGTGTGGCAGTTCCTCAAAAACTTAAACATACATTTACCATATAGTCCAGCAATTCCACTCGTGGGTATATACCCAAAAGAACTGAAAGCAAATCTCAAACAGTTACTTGTACACCTGTGTTCATAGCAGCATTATACACAACAGCCAAAGGTAGAAGCAACTCAAGCGCCCATCAATGGATGAATGGATAAACAAAATGTGATAGAATACAACGGAATAGTATTCAGCCTTAAAAAGGAAGGAAATTCTCACAACGGCTACAACATGGATAAACCTTGAGGACACTGTACTAAGTGAAATAAGCCAGTGTCTGAAAAAGACAAATACTGTGTGAGTTCATTCATATGAGGGTCGTAGAGAAGTCATACTTATAGACAGAAACCAAAATGGTGGCTGCCAGGGGCTTCCCTGCCAGAAGTGGGAAAGGAGGAGTTGTTGTTTAATGGGTACAGAGTCTCAGTTTTACAAGATAAAAAGAATTCTGGAGGTTGGTTGTGCAACAATATGAATGTAATGAACCCTACTGAGCTGTACACTTAAAAATATTTAAGATGGTAAAATCTGTTATGTGTATTTTACCATAATTAAAAAGAAAATATTTTAAAGATTTTTGATTTAGGGAACGCAGGGCAGAATCTCCCCTTCAGACACAAGGTGAATGCGTCTAAGACCACTAAGTCATCAAGCAAATGAATCAGACATGATGCCTAGGCCTGGGGTGGAGGCATGAAAGGGAAAGAGCGGTGTAAGAGTGAGAGGGCAGCTCTGTGTCCCAAGCAGCCCCGTGGGAACCATTTCTGCAGGAATCCTGGTGGGAGGCAACAGTGTGGACAGGTGTGGCTCATTGACTGCAACGACACACAAGATGTCGGTCGTGTAGAGCACGGGTCCCTCAGTACACACGCTGAGGGGCGACTAGAGCCCACGGCCCAGAAGAGAGACAATGCCTAAATCACGACAGGACACAAACTTTGAAAATGTGTCTGCTAGGATACTTTTGTTTGCTTTTTGTGTGCAAAAAGATGGGTCCCTGAGTAAGCGTAACAGATCACCTAAAACTGAATTGTAAAAGGAGAACGTATAATATCATGCAGTGGTGAAGTGGGTGGTTTGTGCATCTGCGAAATGGGTTAACAACAGAACCTAGGGTTGATGTGAAGTTTAAAGAAGATGAATGTAAGATTCTTAGCATTGCACCTGACACACAGTACACAGTAAATGTTAGCCATATTACTATTAATAAAGTTTCTGCTTCTAGAAAGTCCTTAAGTAAGTTACTCACTAAGTTGACAACTCTTATACAGATGGTCAAGACAAATTTCGTTTGAGCCATGTTCATCCCTCGTAGAACATTCGGTACTCGCAACGTCAGATACGGAATCTACAAAACAAAAGAGGATGCATGGATGCTGACCCTAATATTGAAACCGAAAATCAAGATATCTGGTCTTACAGTGGGGAAGCATATCTGAAATGGGGGCCACGTTCAAGAAAATGCTTATGATTCATGTACTGCTGCTAATGAGAGCCCAGACATGAAAGCAAACATGAACATCTGGGGCACCTGAGAGTTATGTTTATTTCTTAAACCATAGTTGAACTATTCCTGTTCTGAATAAATGTAGCACTTATTCTATACAGTTCTAGGGTTGGTCCTTCCATCTTCATATGTCAATCTCCTCATCAGAAGTGCTCCTTAACCAAAACCCCTTTGCCCTTTAATACTGCTAAGGGACATGCAAAGAGAAACCACTAGCCCTAGCTGCTGTGCTGCAGACATGAGACATGGGGCCCCTCTCTGTCCCTCAGTGACTCACACAGAGCCCAGCCTGAGCGCTTGTTGTAATCTCGCTGGCAGGGGGAACAGACATTTGAGCAGAGTTCCGACCATGGGTCCCCCAGGCTGCAGCTCTGTTGCTTAAGGAAGGCGTAAAATGAGGGACCCTGGGCAGAGGGAGTGCCGCTCTGTGTCGGGGCAGTGGTCTCCCCATGTGTGGGCAGAACCTGGCTTGTCAGCCTCTGACTTTCAGAGCGTAACACGTCTTTCTCCCCACTGACTGCCAACCTGAAGCCAAAACTAGTGGCATCAGTTTTACCTACATCGGTAGTCTCATCTATCACTTTACTAGAGCCATTTGGGGGCACTGTGGACAGACTAGCCCAGAATGTCTCCTCTGTGTGTTTACCATTAACAAAGGCCGTGGCCCCATCGTCGGCAGCCGTCATTTGGCCAGCGGGCTGCAGATGGCTGCGAGTCACTCCGGTGTCCTGACCCCTAGGTAAAGATTTTTCTCTCTGCCAACTGGCTGTGGTTTTATGATTTAACAATCTCACGGAAGTGGCATCTGTAGCCATGTCATCGACGTTATTATTAAAAAGCGGGAAATGCTGGCTGTCTTGATTCCCACGTCTGCCCTCCGTGTTCACGCAGTCCGAGGAAAGGATGGCTGTGCTCTTTCTGGTGGTGACGGTTTCAGGTATCTGTGGAGAACCAAGAGGCGAGAAGGAGACAGCCTGACTGGAAGAAAACAAACTCTCTCTACCAGTGTCTTGGTCATTCTGCCAGGATGCGGGGCCCTTCCACTTGGGAGCTGATGTCGAATCAAAAGTGACGTAAGTATTGCTGTGATTCCCATAGAAAAGATCCTCTGGACTGCCATTCTCTGCAAACCTCTGGCTTGCTCCCCCTTGACCGGTTCCTCCAAGATTGGACGCCGCAGACGAGCCTGAGGAAGGCGGAGGGCACTTCTGACTTCCCAAGTGCGTGAACTTGTGGGCAAGATCCTTGACAGGCCCATCGTCCGGGGGAGACCCGCGGCCGGTGGGATCTGGACTGGGGGGGCAGGACCTCTGGGCAGAAGCTGCAGCAGATGGAAGAGAGTCCCCGCTGCCCCGGTCTCTGCTCTTGCTTCTGCCTCTGTGTGCCGCGCCTCTGCGATGTGAAGGAGGAGCTGGGAAAGAAAAAGCAAACAACGGAAGTTGGTGTTAACGTGACTAACTTCCCTGCCCTGTTCCGCCTCAGCTTCTCCAGGTTTGCTATCGAAGTTCTATCAAATTACTTTTGTGTGAAAATCTCGAGAAGGTGCTTATGACAATGCAGGAATCTGTCACCCTGCCAGCCCTGCAGAAAACACCACCTATGACCTAGGATAAAGGTCGAACTGACACTGGCTCTGCTTGGCTTCTCTCGTGGGACTTAGATGTAGCCCCCAAATGCCCACACTCTTAGATGGGGCTGTCCACAATTCTCTAGTTCAAGTCACTCACCGCTAGGGTAAATGGAGAGACAGACGAGTACAAATCAGGGAGGAGTTCCCCAAAATCATTTAGAGTTTGCCCATATTGTGATACAGGTGTACCTAAGTTACGGATTCATGACACATAAAACAACAACAACAAAAGAAACTACAACAGAGGTCTGAGTTCACTGAAGCTTGAGAATTTTCCAGAGTCGTTCGTCCAGCCCCCCAAATGCCCAAGCTTAAATGAGTAATATCTAAAAAAGAAAAATTGGCCTCTGTCTAGAAACGTGGTAAGTCACACCCCCGGGAAGCAGACAGGAGGGAGGGGGGTGAGCATGTGTGTTCGTGAGTACGTACAAAGTGCAGTGTGCATGCGTGTGATGTTTATAAGTGGGGTGTGCTGTGCTGGGTGTGTGTGCATGCATGAAGTGTGTGCATGTGTGTGTGTGTGTGATAGGCACGTGTGGTATACATGTGACGGGTGTATGTGTGTGTATGGTTGCACGCATGGTGTGTGACGTGTGTCGGTTGGTGAGATATGCATGTATGGTGTATGTGGCATGCGCAAGTGAAGTCTGTCTGTGTGGTGTGATTGCATGTGTTTGTGTGGCATGTGTGAAGTGTGTCCTGTGTATGTGTTACACATGTTGTGCGTGCGTGAAGTTTGTGTATGTGTGGGGTATGTATGTATGCAAGTGGTTGTTTTTGTGTGCATGTGGCTGGAGGCTGTGTGTGTGTGTGTGTGTGTGTGTGTGGTGTGTGAGTTGTGCTATTGTGTGTGGGAAAGAGGAGGAAGAGAGATCCTTTCTCTTCCAAACCCAGGGGGCAGCAGGAATATAGTAAAAGCAAGCATCCTCCTCCCATCAACTAAATAGATTAACTAGAAGTGACAACAAAGAAAACTCCCTCTCGCATACAACAAATTTATATTGAGAAGCTACACCAAACCCCATCCTTCCAGATATTCCCCTGTCGAGAGGGCATTGTCGTGCAGGAGAGAAAACATGAGATGTGGAATCAGAACACGCGAGCTCTGCTCCTCTCGAGTCCTCTGAGACCCTGAAAACATTACTTTTCTTGATTCATAGTATTACCCTTCACTCTTCTAAAAATGATTTAAGGCTGCTCGCAATAGAACTCACTTAAGGGACTTCCCTGGTGGCGCAGTGGTTAAGAATCCACCTGCCAGAGCTCCCGAATATGACTGCCCCCAGTGCCCATGCCCCAGCGTGAGCACAGCCGCCCCAGCTCTCCAGGAGACTCTCCTAGACAAGCAGCTGTGTGGATGAAAGGCTCTTGGTGCTGCAGCCAGGAGTCAGTGCTGTGCCTCTGAGGTGGGAGAGCCAACTTCAGGACACTGGTCCACAAGAGACCTCCCAGCTCCACGTAATATCAAATGGCGAAAATCTCCCAGAGATCTCCATCTCAACACAAAGACCCAGCTTCACTCAACGACCAGCAAGCTACAGTGCTGGACATCCTATGCCAAACAACTAGCAAGACAGGAACACAGCCCCGCCCATTAGCAGAGAGGCTGCCTAAAATCACAATAAGTCCACAGACACCCCAAAACACACCACCAGATGTGGACCTGCCCACCAGAAAGACAAGATCCAGCCTCATCCACCAGAACACAGGCACTAGTCCCCTCGACCAGGAAGCCTACACAACCCACTGAACCAACCTTAGCCACTGGGGACAGACACCAAAAACAACGGGAACTACGAACATGCAGCCTGCAAAAAGGAGACCCCAAACACAGTAAGATAAGCAAAATGAGAAGACAGAAAAACACGCAGCAGATGAAGGAGCAAGATAAAAACCCACCAGACCTAACAAATGAAGAGGAAATAGGCAGTCTACCTGAAAATGAATTCAGAATAATAGTAAAGATGATCCAAAATCTTGGAAATAGAATAGAGAAAATGCAAGAAACACTTAACAAGGACCTAGAAGAACTAAAGATGAAACAAGCAACGATGAACAACACAATGAATGAAATTAAAAATACTCTAGAAGGGATCAATAGCAGAATAACTGAGGCAGAAGAACGGATAAGTGACCTGGAATATAAAATAGTGGAAATAACTACTGCAGAGCAGAATAAAGAAAAAAGAATGAAAAGAACTGAGGACAGTCTCAGAGACCTCTGGGACAACATTAAATGCACCCACATTCGAATTATAGGGGTTCCAGAAGAAGAAGAGAAAAAGAAAGGGACTGAGAAAATATCTGAAGAGATTAGAGTTGAAAACTTCCCTAATATGGGAAAGGAAATAGTTAATCAGGTGCAGGAAGCACAGAGAGTCCCATACAGGATAAATCCAAGGAGAAACATGCCAAGACACATATTAATCAAACTGTCAGAAATTAAATACAAAGAAAACATATTAAAAGCAGCAAGGGAAAAACAACAAATAACACACAAGGGAATCCCCATAAGGTTAACAGCTGATCTTTGAGCAGAAACTCTGCAAGCCAGAAGGGACAGGCAGGACATATTTAAAGTGATGAAGGAGAAAAACCTACAACCAAGATTACTCTACCCAGCAAGGATCTCATTCAGATTTGATGGAGAAATTAAAACTTTACACACAAGCAAAAGCTGAGAGAGTTCAACACCACCAAACCAGCTTTACAACAAATGCTAAAGGACCTTCTCTAGGCAAGAAACACAAGAGAAGGAAAAGACCTACAAAAACAAACCCAAAACAATTAAGAAAATGGGAATAGGAACATACATATCGATAACTACCTTAAATGTAAATGGATTAAATGCTCCCACCAAAAGACACAGACTGGCTGAATGGATACAAAAACAAGACCCATATATATGCTGTCTACAAGAGACACACTTCAGACCTAGGGACACATACAGACTGAAAGTGAGGGGATGGAAAAAGATATTCCACGCAAATGGAAACCAAAAGAAAGCTGGAGTAGCAATTCTCATATCAGACAAAATAGACTTTAAAATAAAGACTATCACAAGAGACAAAGAAGGACACTACATAATGATCAAGGGTTCGATCCAAGAAGAAGATATAACAATTGTAAATATTTATGCACCCAACATAAGAGCACCTCAATACATAATGCAAATACTAACAGCCATAAAAGGGGAAATTGACAGTAATACATTCATAGTAGGGGACTTTAACACCCCACTTTCACCAACGGACAGATCATCCAAAATGAAAATAAATAAGGAAACACAAGCTTTAAATGATACATTAAACAAGATGGACTTAATTGATAGTTATAGGACATTCAATCCAAAAACAACAGAATACACATTTTTCTCAAGTGCTCATGGAACATTCTCAAGGATAGATTATATCTTGGGTCACAAATCAAGCCTTGGTAAATTTAAGAAAATTGAAATTGTATCAAGTATCTTTTCCGACCACAATGCTATGAGACTAGGTATCAATTACAGGAAAAGATCTGTAAAAAATACAAACACATGGAGGCTAAACAATACACTACTTAATAACGAAGTAATCACTGAAGAAATCAAAGAAGAAATAAAAAAATACCTAGAAACAAATGACAATGGAGACAGGATGACCCAAAAACCTATGGGATGCAGCAAAAGCAGTTCTAAGAGGGAAGTTTATAGCAATACAATCCTATCTTAAGAAACAGGAAACATCTCTAATAAACAACCTAACCTTGCACCTAAAGCAATCAGAGAAAGAACAAAAAAACCACAAAGTTAGCAGAAGGAAAGACATTATAAAAATCAGATTAGAAATAAATGAAAAAGAAATGAAGGAAACGATAGCAAGGATCAATAAAACTAAAGGCTGGTTCTTTGAGAAGATAAACAAAATTGATAAACCATTAGCCAGACTCATCAAGAAAAGAAGGGAGAAGACTGAAATCAATAGAATTAAAAATGAAAAAGGAGAAGTAACAACTGACACTGCAGAAATACAAAAGATAATGAGAGATTACTACAAGCAACTCTGTGCCAATAAAATGGACAACCTGGAAGAAATGGACAAATACTTAGAAATGCACAACCTGCCAAGACTGAATCAGGAAGAAATAGAAAATATGAACAGACCAATCACAAGCACTGAAATTGAAACTGTGATTAAAAATCTTCCAACAAACAAAAGCCCAGGACCAGATGGCTTCACAGGCGAATTCTATCAAACATTTAGAGAAGAGCTAACACCTATCCTGCTCAAACTCTTCCAAAATATAGCAGAGGGAGGAACACTCCCAAACTCATTCTACGAGGCCACCATCACCCTGATACCAAAACCAGACAAGGATGTCACGAAGAAAGAAAACTACAGGCCAATATCACTGATGAACACAGATGCAGAAATCCTCAACAAAATACTAGCAAGCAGAATCCAACAGCACATTAAGAGGATCATACACCATGATCAGGTGGGGTTTATTCCAGGAATGCAAGGATTCTTCAATATACACAAGTCAATCACTGGGATACACCATATTAACAAATCGAAGGAGAAAAACCATATGGTCATCTCAATAGATGCAGAGAAAGCTTTCGACAAAATTCAACACCCATTTATGATAAAAACCCTCCAGAAAGTAGGCATAGAGGGAACTTTCCTCAACATAATAAAGGCCATATATGACAAACCCAAAGCCAACATTGTCCTCAATGGTGAAAAACTGAAAGCATTTCCACTAAGATCAGGAACAAGACAAGGTTGCCCACTCTCATAACTCTTATTCAACATAATTTTGGAAGTCTTAGCCACAGCAATCAGAGAAGAAAAGGAAATAAAAGGAATCCAAATCGGAAAAGAAGAAGTAAAGCTGTCACTGTTTGCAGATGACATGATATACTATACATAGAGAATCCTAAAGATGCTACCAGAAAACTACTAGAGCTAATCAATGAATTTGGTAAAGTAGCAGGATACAAAATTAATGCACAGAAATCTCTGGCATTCCAATACACTAATGATGAAAAAGCTGAAAGTGAAATCAAGAAAACACTCCCATTTACCACTGCAATAAAAAGAATAAAATATCTAGGAATAAGCCTACCTAAGGAGACAAAAGACCTGTATGCAGAAAACTGTAAGACACTGATGAAAGAAATTAAAGATGATACAAATAGATGGAGAGATATACCATGTTCTTGGATAGGAAGAATCAACATTGTGAAAATGACTCTACTACCCAAAGCAATCTACAGATTCAATGCAATCCCTATCAAACTACCACTGGCATTTTTCACAGAACTAGAACAAAAAATTTCACAATTTGTATGGAAACACAAAAGACCCCGTATAGCCAAAGCAATCTTGAGAATGAAAAACGGAGCTGGAGGAATGAGACTCCCTGACTTCAGACTATACTACAAAGCTACAGTAATCAAGACAGTATGATACTGGTACAAAAACAGAAATATAGATCAACGGAACAGGATAGAAAGCCCAGAGATAAACCCACGCACACATGGTCACCTTATCTTTGATAAGGAGGCAGGAATGTACAGTGGAGAAAGGACAGCCTCTTCAATAAGTGGTGCTGGGAAAACTGGACAGGTACATGTAAAAGTATGAGATTAGAACACTCCCTAACACCATACACAAAAATAAGCTAAAAATGGATTAAAGACCTAAATGTAAGGGCAGAAACTATCAAACTCTTAGAGGAAAACGTAGGCAGAACACTCTATGACATAAATCACAGCAAGATCCTTTTTGACCCACCTCCTAGAGAAATGGAAATAAAAAAATAAGTAAACAAATGGGACCTAATGAAACTTCAAAGCTTTTGCACAGCAAAGGAAACCATAAACAAGACGAAAAGACAACCCTCAGAATGGGAGAAAATATTTGCAAATGAAGCAACTGACAAAGGATTAATCTACAAAATTTACAAGCAGCTCATGCAGCTCAATAACAAAAAAACAAACAACCCAATCCAAAAATGGGCAGAAGACCTAAATAGACATTTCTCCAAAGAAGATACACAGAGTGCCAACAAACACATGAAAGCATGCTCAACATCATTAATCATTAGAGAAATGCAAATCAAAACTACAATGAGATATCATCTCACACTGGTCAGAATGGCCATCATCAAAAAATCTAGAAACAATAAATGCTGGAGAGGGTGTGGAGCAAAGGGAACACTCTTGCACTGCTGGTGGGAATGTGAATGGTACAGTCACTATGGAGAACAGTATGGAGGTTCCTTAAAAAACTACAAATAGAACTACCATATGACCCAGCATTCCCACTACTGGGCATATACCCTGAGAAAACCATAATTCAAAAAGAGTCATGTACCAAAATGTTCATTGCAGCTCTATTTACAATAACCAGGAGATGGAAACAACCTAAGTGCCCATCATCAGATGAATGGATAAAGAAGATGTGGCACATATATACAATGGAATATTAGCCATAAAAGGAAACGAAATTGAGTTATTTGTAGTGAGGTGGATGGACCTAGAGTCTGTCATACAGAGTGAAGTAAGTCAGAAAGAGAAAGACAAATACCGTATGCTAACACATATATATGTAATACAAGAAAAAAAAATGTCATGAAGAACCTAGGGGTAAGACAGGAATAAAGACACAGACCTACTAGAGAATGGACTTGAGGGTATGGAGAGCGGGAAGGGTAAGCTGTGACAGAGTGAGAGAGAGACATGGACATATATACACTACCAAAGGTAAAATAGATAGCTAGTGGGAAGCAGCCGCATGGCACAGGGAGATCAGCTCGGTGCTTTGTGACCACCTAGAGGGGTGGGATAGGGAGGGTGGGAGGGAGGGAGACGAAAGAAGGAAGACATATGGGAACATATGTATATGTATAACTGATTCACTTTGTTATAAAGCAGAAACTAACACACCATTGCAAAGCAATTATACTCCAATAAAGATGTAAAAAAAAAAAGAAAAAAAAAGAATCCACCTGCCAAAGCAGGGGACACGGGTTCGAGCCCTGGTCCACGAGGATCCCACATGCCGTGGAGCAAGTAAGCCCGTGTGCCACCACTACTGAGCCTGCACTATAGAGCCCATGAGCCACAACTACTGAGCCCACGTGCCTAGAGCCCGTGCTCTGCAACAAGAGAAGCCATCGCAATGAGGAGCCCGCACATTGCAACGAAGAGTAGACCCCCTCGCCGCAACTAGAGAAAGCCCACGCGCAGCAGTAAAGACCCAACGCAGCCAAATAAATAATTTTAAAAAATAGTCACTTAAAATTTCCAAGCCTCAGTTTCCTTATCCATTAAGTGAGGCCAATAATACACCTGCCTTGCTTCACAGTTTTGCTGTGAGGAACAGTGATGAGATATTTTAGGTGAAAGTCCCTTGTAAATGATAAAGCATTTCTCAAATATTAAAAGATTCTCTCACAGAATCTTAGTTATATATTCTACTTGCTTCATAAAATTCATCTCCTCTATATCTGCTTAATAAAGATATTAAAAAATGCAAGTGTTAATTCCATTAAACAACATCAAAATGCTTAAGAAATTGTACTGATCATTTCACTGATCATAATAGGATGGCTATTATCCAGAAAAAACAGAAAGTAACAAGTGCTGGTGAGGAGGGGGAGAAATTGAGACCCTAGTGCTTTGCTGATGGGAATGTAAAATGGTGCAGCCACTGTGGAAAACGGTATGGCAGTTCCTCAAATATTTAACACTGAATTACCATGTGATCCAGCAATTCTACTTCAGGGTATATACTCAAAAAACTGAGGGCTTCCCTGGTGGCGCAGTGGTTGGGAGTCCGCCTGCCGATGCAGGGGACACGGGTTCGTGCCCCGGTCCGGGAAGATCCCACATGCCGCGGAGCGGCTGGCCCGTGAGCCATGGCCGCTGAGCCTGCGCGTCTGGAGCCTGTGCTCCGCAACGGGAGAGGCCACAAGAGTGAGAGGTCCGCGTACCGCTAAAAAAAAAAAAAAAAAAGTAGACCGCATTTACCTCTCCACCCAGAGGGTTTCTTCTGGCGGTGCCTGCTGTTGCAGATGTCCTGGATGTTCTGGACCACACGTGAGCTCAGCCCGTGCTCCCTCATGATGGCCAGCACCTTTCTGTCCATCAGGTTATGGGACCGGAAGCAGTTGGCATAACCACAGTTCCCTCGGGTAAAGTGTTCACAAACGTGGAGCCTTTCACACGGTGGCTGCTGCTTACAAATCTGTCTTCCACCCTCTCCCTTATAATTTTTGCATATCTACAGAAGGAAGAAACAATAGTCAGAGATAAAACGTGTTTCTCTATGTGCCACACGTCAAGGAAAGTGTATACAAAAATTTCGGCTGTAATGATCTATATGGGAACAGAATCTAAAAAAGAGCGGATAGGGGCTTCCTTGGTGGCGCAGTGGTTGAGAGTCCACCTGCCGATGCAGGAGACATGGGTTCGTGCCCCGGTCTGGGAGGATCCCACATGCCGCGGAACGGCTGGGCCCGTGGGCCATGGTCGCTGGGCCTGCGCGTCCGGAGCCTGTGCTCTGCGACGGGAGAGGCCGCAGCAGTGAGAGGCCCGCATACCACAAAAAGATAAAAATAAAATAAAATAAAATAAAAAAGAGTGGATATATGTATATGTATAACTGATTCATTTTGCTGTACAGCAGAAACTAACACAACAGTGTAAATCAACTATACTCCGATAAAAAAATAAATAAATAAATAATAAAACGCAGCTTTTCTTACTTCCTGATAAGAAAAAAAAAGCAGAAGCAAGCAGAGATATATCAAAGGAAAAAAATGCACGTGTATTCCACAATCTTTGATGAGTTCTTTTCAATCGCTGACTTATTTGCAGCAGAAGAGGCCTACAAACTAACTGAAGGAAACTTGAATTTGATTAACCTCCTTTGGAAGAATCAACATAAGACGGCTAGCTACAGATAGAACCAAACAGGACCCAAAGGGAGCCCTACATTATAAAGGAACCCCAAAGAGGAAGGCCTGTCTTTGGATATCAATTCATTGTTCTATTAAAAGGACATGTGGAGGGACTTCCCTGGCGGTCCAGTGTTTAAGACTCCACGCGGTTCGGTCCCTGGTTGGGGAACTAAGATCCCGCATGCCGTGCAGTGCAGCCAACAAAAAGGACATGTGGGGACTTCCCTGGTGGCACAGTGGTTAAGACTCCATGCTCCCAATGCAGGGGCCCCAGGTTCAATCCCTGGTCAGGGAACTAGATCCCGCACCATGCCACAAGTAAGAGTTAGCATGCCACAAGTAGGGAGCCAGTGTGCCGCAACTAAGGAGCCTGTGAGCCACAACTGAGGATCCCACATGCTGCAACTAAGGAGCCTGCCTGCTGCAACTAAGATCCAGTGCAACCAAACTAATTAATTAGTTAATTAATTTTTCAAAAGAGGACATGTGGGTCTTACCTACAACTGCTGGAAGTCTAGAATCTAGTCTCAGCTAGGCAGAATGTCAGTTTCTCAAAAGATCAACTGAAGCAGATAATTTGTATATTCCTATGTAAATAGGTATACCTACATATCTAGCTCTACAGAGATGTAGTTCTTACTGAAAGGAGAGCAGAAGAAACACTGTCACTGAGGCCAGACCAGGTGATGCAGGACTAGAAGATGCTGGTTGAAGTCTGCAGCCCTGGAAGCAGCTACATGTGACCTCACATCTGAATTACTTACTTGCTCCCAGCCTCTCTTTCCTTTGCTGTAAAGAAGGAAAATATTTGCTCTCCTCACCTAACCAAGTTGTTGAGCAGATTAAATAAAATATGTAAATGTGTGGTGCAAAATATGAAATGTGATGCAAATGTTTGAATCATTACATGAAGAAGCTTAAAGATGAAAACGTTTATAAGTTGTTTCAATAGACTCTGAGCAAACCAGGTCAACACGGGCCACTGTGATGTATCCAAGTGGCAAAGACATGGATTCAGACTCTAACAACAATGACTTAAGCCATATAAACAAGTTCTAAACCTGATGCAAATAGATACCATTGCGATAGAGCCTATGATCCAGATTCAAGACTCTAGACCAACAGTTCTCAAAGTGTGGTCCCTGCACAAGCAACATCGGCTTCAACTGGAAACTTATTAGAAATACAACTCCTTGGGCCCTTCCCCGTATCTACAGAGTCAGAACGGCCAGAGGTAGGGCCCAGCAATCTGGGCTTGACAAACCCTCCAGGTGATTCTGACACACATTTAAAGCTTGAGAACCAGTGTTCTAGAGGCTTGAGTGAAACAAGAATAATTAGTAACTTCACAAATGATACTTTGGTTAACATTCCTAGTTCTATGCTGATGTTTAAGTAAGAATGCTCCTGCCAAAACAAATGAAATCATTTCTTCCTTTTAATAAATATATCTCAGTTACACAAGTTTCTATATGAGGACGTCAGATTTGCCTGATGCTTTTATGTTCTCGCAGGTCAAGGCAAAGTGGAAGAGTGTGAACATTTTAAGTTTTTGAGGGCAGGCAGTGTGTCTTGTCCACTGCTGCCTTCAGAAGCCTGCCCTTGTAGGAACTCCTGAGTGTTAATTGAATGAATGCAAAACAAACAATAAGTAAAGTGAGACGCAGAAGGATGAAATGCCTTGTCCAGGACCACAGAGGTGGTTACTGGCAGAGTCAGGACTTCGAGAGACATGGAAGGACCATCGTTGACCGACTATCCTTGGAACTAGCTGAACTCTGGCTGAGCCCCTCCTGCTAAAACCTTGAAAATATTCTGCCCTACTCACCCAAGTAGTCACTCCTTGAGAGACTACTCTTGCCCCAAATTGTCAAATAGAGACTTATGTTATCGATGCTCTGGTCGATTTTCCACTACAGGAACCAGCGCCTCAGACCTCTGGTTCAGGAAACAGTGCAGTCTGCTAGTCTGTGATCCTACCCCTGACAAGTGGTAAATGGCAATTAAGTTATTGGCTAAAAATAAACTTCAAGCACAAGCCTTCCCACCCCACCCACTAAGCATGGGTACTGAATTCTTAAAAGGGAAAGGGAACCTCAGATGACACTTCAGACTCTCTGTGTGATAAAGGATGACAACGGCATTTTCCTACGAGGACCCTCCCAGCTCTTCTGTCAATGGGCTTTTCCGGGATCCATCAGCAACACCACCTTCTAGTAGGTTCTTCCCTAGAGAAAGGAAGAGCTGTCACTCCCCTTATTCTCCAGGGACGTGATACAGAAAGTCCTTGGTGATTTTGGAGAACAGAAGCAGGCAGCAAACCTGATGAGTGACTTTTCCAAACTTCCAAGTTTAACACTAGACTAAGGTTGGACCCCAGGGACACTCCTCTCAAGGGTCACAACAAGACTTCACCTGTCGTCATCCCTTCACATGAAAGGAAAAGGACGGGGGTGGGTCTGTTAGTCAAGGGGACCTTTAACGAGTTGGTGTGTAAGGCGTCTCCCCATGCTGGTAGCCTGGAGGGACTGAGCTGGCACACAGGCCAAGGGCCATAGGGATCCCAAGACAAGACCTCTAAACCTAGGCTCCTGGAAACGGAGAGAGAGAGAGAGAGAGAGAGAAATCCAAGTACCTAAATGAAAGAATGCCTGCAGAAATGGCATATATAGTCCTCCTCCACTCTCTCCGTCTCTGAAGACATTTTTATAGACGGCCTTGCACTCCTATCTCTCTTGAGCTCAGTGATCAACTCAAAATCACCCCTCATGTCCTAAGGTTTCTAAGTCCTCAGGGAAACACACTGAGCTTAGAGTCAAAAGATGTTTAACCCCCCAGATATCCCTAATCGCTATCTTGCCATTAATAAAAGCACATCTGAATTTCAACCTTGCTTATCTTTAAAATATATATATATATATATATTTATTTATTTATTTATTTATTTACTTACTTACTTACTTACTTAATTACTTATCTATTTTTGGCTGTGTCAGGTCTTAGTTGCAGCATGCGGGCTTCTCTCTAGTTGTGGCGTGTGCGGGCTCTGTTGCCCCACAGCATGTGGGATCTTAGTTCCCCAACCAGGGATCAAACCTGAGTCCCCTGCATTGGAAGGCGGATTCTTAACCACTGGACTACCAGGGAAGTCCCCACCTTTGCTTATCTTAATCTCAGTCCCTTCCACTCATTCCACTTGAGCCTTCCATTATGTTTCTGTGCCTCTCTTTCAGTGTGAAGCTAACTTCTCTACACAAGGGTTTTTCTCAGGTCAGATACCATTCTTTAAACAGCACCCTCTGATTTTCAAGTCAATAGTCCTGTGTGGATGAGACTGTTAATTATCTGCCATTGTCCTCACCTTTCTACTAATAATAGAAGCTTCCAAGTTTTAGCTGGACACCTAGTTACCCAGCCAGAAACTACATTTCCCAGCCTCCCTTCTACCTAAGTGTGATCATGTGATAAGTTCTGGCGAATGACATGGAGCAGGTGCGCTTTTTACAATGTCCAAGTTGCATCTTTTAAAAAAGAAAGCTGCTTGCCTTTCACTTACTCCCTCTCTACATTCCTGTTGGTTAGAAAATGATGACAGTGACAAGAGTCTCCTTGTACCTGGAGGAGGAAGCCACATGTTAAAAGAGAACAGAGATTATCTACTGGTCCAAAAATAGAATGGATATATTATATATAAGATAATAAGGCTGACCTACTGGCCTGAGTCCCTGCGTGACACTGTGGAATCCAGCTGCCTGACCATCGGATACCTACCTGCCTACATCTGGGCAAAACCAAAAGTCAGTAAACTATTTCTGTAAAGGATCAAATGGTAAATATTTTAGGCTTTGCAGGCCATTCAGTCTCTGTTGCGAATACTCAACTCACTCTTGCATGAGAAAGTGGCAATAGACAATATATAAATGAATGGGGGTGGCTGTGTTCCAATTAAACTACAAAAACAGGTGGCAGGTGGGATTTGGACCATGGACCATGGTTTAATGACCCCCCAATCCAGACTGTCAAGTGATAGAGAAACAAAGTAATATTTTATTTGAATCACTGCACTTTGAGGTCTCTTTGTTCCAATAACTTAGCCTCAACCAATACACTCTGTCATCTTCCAAAATCCTGCCTCAAGGCCCACCTCTTCCAGTAGGTCACAGGGTTCCCTAGCAGCCTGGCGGGGGAAGCATTCCAGACTCCAAATTCTTGTAAAACTTCTAATAGGAAGGAAATTGTTGGAATCGCTCAGATAACTCAGCAACAATCACCTGTTGACGGCCACCTGCAGGCCCTGGTGCTCAGTTTTCTCTGCTCCCATTCCAACACACCCACGATGCCACGCTGCCAACAGCACTCTCCCTGCTTTTCAAACTAAGGAATTAGAACTTACCTCTGAAAAAAAAAAAAAAAAAAAAAAAAAGAACTTACCTCTGGCATAAAAAAAGGGTCATTTTGGAGAAGGAGCACGGCTAATTCCTCTTTGTTCAGTCCAGAGAGTGCATGATTTTTCAGGACCTTGAAGTTATCTTCTGAGAGAATCTCGTGAGAATATTTGCATAAATTCCTGGAAATAAATGACAATGGTCAGTGTTTCCACTTCACAGAAAGTAAAGAAAAAGCAATAGTCCAGGGAACTTTCAATGAAAAGCAATGCCCATATCCTTTGGTAACTAATACAGGTTGGTCCTGCTTCAAGAGTACACTTTAAAAATATAAATTGATGGGCTTCCCTGGTGGCACAGTGGTTGAGAATCCGCCTGCCGATGCAGGGGACGCGGGTTCGTGCCCCGGTCCGGGAAAATCCCACATGCCGCGGAGCGGCTGGGCCACTGAGCCTGCGCGCCCGGAGCCTGTGCTCCGCAACGGGAGAGGCCACGACAGTGAGAGGCCCGCATACCGCAAAATAAATAAATAAATAAATAAGTAAATTGATGGAACACCTAGATGGGAAAAGGGAATATGAGGATTATTTTCACAAATTATACACTTGTATACTTTATGTATTTATTTTTGGCTGCATTGGGTCTTCATTGCTGCCCGCAGGCTCTCTATAGTTGCGGCGAGCAGGGGCTACTCTTTGTTGCGGTACACAGGCTTCTCATTGCAGTGGCTTCTCTTGTTGCCGAGCACAGGCTCTAGGCGCACAGGTTTCAATAGTTGTGGTGCGTGGGCTTCAGTGGTTGTGGCGCGCGGACTCTAGAGCACAGGCTCAGTAATGTGGCACATGGGCTTAGCTGCTCCGCGGCATGTGGGATCTTCCCCAGCCAGGGCTTGAACCTGTGTCCCCTGCATTGGCAGGTGGATTCCCAACCACTGTGCCACCAGGGAAGCCCCACACATGTATACTTTAAATTATTGCAATACTTCTTCAAACAATGTGTCCTCTAGTACACATTAATAATGTAGGACAAGGAAAAAATGGCAAAGAAACTGATACAAATTTAGTGGAAATGACTGCCCATTGAGAGGCAAAGAATAATTAGGATAACACATCTATGGATTGACAATAAAATCAATGCGAGAAGAGAATTCCATTGAACAAACTAAATTAGATGAAATTGTTCCTTGCTTTCTCTCTTCTATGCCTTACATACCAATGTATACCTATATGATTTGTGACTACAAAGGAATGGAACAAGCTCATAATTGTCCATTTCAAACAACTCTACAAAGAGATAAAAATCCTCTTCACTTTAAGACTGATGATGTAGGTCTGATAGTACTTTCTATGATGATGGAATTGTTCTATAATCTGAGCTTCCTAAAACGTAAGCCATACATGACTAATGAACACTTGAAATATAGGTAATAAGACTTAAGAAACTAAATTTTCTATTTTACTTTACTTTAATTAATTTAAATTTGAATAGCCACACATGACTAGTGGCTACCATACTGCGTGGCAGAGATTTCAATCTTTGCTATTCAAAATGTGGCGGGAGAACCAGCAGCTTCACCATTATTTGGGAGCTTGTCACAAATTTAGAATGTCAGGCCCCACCCAAGTTCTAGTGAATCAGAATCCGTCTTTCAACAAGATCCCCAAATGATTTAATCACACTGAAGTCCCACAAGCACTGACTTAGACCATTGAGAAACCCAGACAGTACCGATGTTTTCATTAGACAAACATAATGTGACAGTCATCAATGTTCAGCTAACAAACTCGTTCGACTTCTTAACTTACATACGCTCCCTATAATATCGCCAACGTCCTCGGATTTATGGTTTTAACAGTTGCTAATATGATGGGATCTTAATAGTTTCTGGTTTGCTCAACCGTTATCAAATTGTCAGGAGGTTAGGTAATGGCCAGATTTTCACTACATTACAACCTTTGTACAGACAACCTTTCTTCTTTTACATTATTTCTTGAGATTTATTCCTTTGAGTATTGCCTCAAAGGACACAATCAGTTTCCCTGCAGTTTCTGTTTCATTTTGATCTCCTACTCTCCAGAAAACATACCAGCAATCTGAGAGCATGTCTATTTCCCCGCCAGCACATTAACATAGAGTTTTATCACTTTTGCTCCTTCAGTAAGTAGGAAATAGACTTATGAGGGACTTCCCTGGTGGTCAAGCAGTTAAGACTCCCTGCTCCCAATGCAGGGGCCCCAGGTTCGATCCCTGGTCAGGGAACTAGATCCCGCATGCCACATGGTGTAGCCAAAACAAAAAAGAAAATTAAAGAAATAGACTTATGCTTTTAATTTGCACTTTAATTATTAGCAAGACTGAAATATTCCCAAATGTAGGCTTGATGCTTGCATTTCCTCTTACTTATAGTATTTGTTCATATCTTTTAACTGTTTATCTAGTGGAGAATGAGTACTAACCTACAGATTTATAACTGTTCTTTATATTTTTTAATACTAATCTTTACCAGCCTTGTGTATTTCAAATAGTTTTGGATTTTTCCCTTTTGATCAAGAACTTATTAAGGTTGTTGTTCAACAATCTGATTGCTGTTCTATACAATCATATCCTTCCAATTCGCCATTCGTAATTTAGCCCACTGTTTTAATACTTGAGAAATTAATTCCTCCACCACAGCTAGATAACTATACCATTTTGTTTCACCTTTAAAAGAGATATTTTCAACTTTAATTCTTTAAAATATCTGGAGCTTATTTTGACAACCAGCATCAGAGGAGGACAGAAGTGCTTTATATCAACTTTTCTCAATAACGTCTATTAAATTGGACTTTCTTACTATTTTGTTATAGAGGACTATTGTTTGTTAACTTTTTAGCAAATTTAGAACTATTGGAATCCTTATTATGTTTTTATCAATCTACGGTTCTACTTTGAATCCAATACCATACAACTAAAATGTCCTTTGCACTGTATTTTAAATATTAACAGAATAATTTATCCTATTATTATTGGCTTATTCCTTTTCAAAAATCTCTTTAGTGTGCTTAACTATTATTTCCTCTATAGAAATTTTATTCTGGCTTTGTCACTTTCCACAAAAGATCATACTGAGAATCTAATTTGTGTTAACGCCATACATCAGATTGGATATTACACATCTTAACTACATTAAATCTTCTGATTCTGGAACAGAAAATATCTCTCCATTTATTCAAGTCTTATTCTATTTTTCTTACTGAGAATTAAAATCTTTCTTTTAATAGTTCTCTCATTTCCCAAATATTAAACATGAATCAGTTGCCACTATTATGTTTTAGTTGTTTGTGAGTAGTAAACAGAAATGCGAACGACTGCAAAATTATCTTATTGAAATTGACAATGATTTTTTTTTTTTTTTTTTTTTTTTTTGCGGTACGCAGGCCTCTCACTGCTGCGGCCTCTCCCGCTGCGGAGCACAGGCCCCGGACGCGCAGGCCCAGCGGCCATGGCTCACGGGCCCAGCCGCTCCGCGGCATGTGGAATCCTCCCTGACCGGGGCACGAACCCACGTCCCCCGCATCGGCAGGCGGACTCTCAACCACTGCGCCACCAGGGAAGCCCGACAATGATTTTTTAAATGTAAACATCTACATAAAAGTTATTCTCTAAGAATTAATCTTTAAAAGCCACTATTCAAATAGTGACTTTTAAGAGTCCCACACGATTCACGCTGTCTGCATGTAAGGCATTTCTGAAGCATTCTAGAATTGCCTTCTTATCTAGCCGTGGAACCTCATGAGAAAAATCAGAATCAACAACCATGGCAGCCACTGCCCAAGCCCTTAAAACCCAGCCAGCCCTCCCCACGCACCCTGGTTCATGCACAATTCAAGGGCAGTCGGTCAGCCTCCGGCAGCAGCCTGTATCTCAGCCATTTTCTCAGGCGTGCTCTCTCCTGGCTTTCTCTACCAGGAGTTCTGGCTTCTAGTGTGTGTCTGGCACTCCTTGATAAAGCTGACCTCAGCCCTCCACTTGCTCTTGGGGTCTGTGCTTTCAGATAACTGCTCCCCAGCGGCCACCACGACCCAGAGCCCTCAGCAGCTGGGCTGGGACTCCACCTTAACACTCCTCCAACCACCACGGGAGGGGCGATCTCGGAAGAGACTCTACAGCAGGAAGGGGACCAGCCTCCTACTCAAAGCAGGAAATCCCTCCATTAGAGCTTTACCAGATACCTGCGAGCTTCATGACCTCACAAGGCCTCTCACTCCACCGGGTACCGACGTTAAGGATCCTCTTGATACGGAACAGAAAATGACCTTGTTGAAACACCCTGCTGCTAGGCAGGTCCTACCCTCTGTCTCGGAGATATATGACAACTGGGAGGAATTAAGAACCTTTCTGCCCTTTGAGCTCCAGTCCAAGACATTGTGATCACAGAGCCAAGACTATGGTACCTCTCCTGTGGCCAGATTAGGGTCACAGATGAGGACCCAGTTCCTCTCCAGGTCCCAGCAAGATACAGCGTCGGTCATATCTGTCCTGTGCCTGCTCTGTCCTAGCCAAGGAGCAGTGGGGCACTTCCAAGGTCCTGGAAGTCAACATTTCCTCTAAATAACTGAAGGCAGCCAGACAAGTCTAATAAGAGCCCCTCTGCCTGGAGCCCTGAGTGTCCAGGCTTTGCCAACCTCACCCAAGACACTCATGCCTGTAGGAAGAGCCCGCCCAGCACACGCTGCGCTGGCTGGGTCCCTGACGTTGCCCGTCTGAGGGCCCAGATCGCTTTTCATTTCTCATCTCCATCCTCAGGCAAACTGCTCGTTCCTCTAGATTCCATAATATTCACCTTGAACTCAGCATGTCATATCTAGCCTTGAGTTCTGACCTGCAGCCCTGTCCCTCGGAGGCCCTGCTCAGTTTTCCCACATTCCCTAGACTTTTCCAAACTTGTTAGAGGCTTTATCTCCACCCTAATTTCAACATAGTATTCAGGGTGGGGCAGTTTGTGCTCACCTATTTGGGGAGTGAGACCAGAAGCACAGACACTAACATTTATTACATAGTTACTAAGTGACAGGAACTTGCATCTGTTATTTATAACCTACGAGGAAACAGTTTACTTTTTACTTTGGGAAACTGAGGCTGGGTAAAATGAGAAATCAAAGGTGACTCAAATAAGAGGAAGAGCTGATCATTGAACCCAGAT